TAGCTAGCTTCACCTGAACTGGCTCTGCCCTGTCCCACTCCTCATTTGACCTAGGTCCACGCAGAACGTTCGTTGCGCCTGAGTCCGCCAACACATCAGGTTTCTGAGACGGGGCCTCTAAAGAGCTACACTTATTGAAACCTTGACCGAGTTCCCTCATGCACCCTGCCGGTGTCTCCTCCTGAACTGGCATATGGCTAGACACGACTAATGCATTCAACCTTGGACCTTGATCCTGTCCCGTCCGTCCTGCTGAAGCATCCACTGGATTGAGTCCTATTTGCTGCAGGAGACGCGTTATTGCAAGAGGGTCAACTGTCGGTGGTGACGCCTGCATGGCAGCCACATGCGCCTGTGCCGGTGTCGACCCTGCCACTTGCTGCGAAGCTGCTGCAGCTGAAGCAGGTGCTTGGATTAGGTAAATTCCGGGGCTTGCTTGGGTTCCAACCTGCACAGGTGCATTACCGGAAGGTGTTAACGCTTGTTGCCCCACACCCTGAACTCCAGCATTAGCTGCAACTGATGTAACGCTCTGGTTAATCTGCTCCTGCACTCCCGATGACGCTGCTGTTGATGCTTGGGCCTGCTGTTGCTGAAGCTCCTGTTGTTTCTGCGCCTTTCTAGCCGCCGCGCCTTTCGCCGGTGAGCTTTCAGGAGATGTTGAAGTAGGTGACACAGGACCGCCTCTATTAGCATTAGCGCCTTCTTTATCCGAATTTTGCTTATCACCTTTCCCAGGATGTGGACATTGCTTTGCACGGTGGGCTTCAGACCCACATCTTAAGCATTTGCGCGCCCTCGCCTCCTTTGGAAGATCCTGCATGGAATGCTTGTATTGGCAACTCAAACCCTTCTTACACCCTGCGTTGGACAAATAATACTCACAATTAGGCTTGCCTTTCTGGATGGTTTCCTGGTTCACCTGAGCGAGCCTCACCTTCGGACCATCTTGCGAACCACCTACAGACAAACAGAACTGTTCAAACTCCGCTAACAGATGCCTATGGAAGCTCAGGGCCTGTTGAAGTGTTGGGCATTGGTCTATGCACAGAGCTGATCTAGCGACCTGCGTCCGAAAGAGTACTTCAGGGGCTGATTGCAATGGTCGTTCAACAATCGACAACAAAGCTCTGACTATCACTGATGGGTCTGGTTCCGTCATCCCTGTTTCGGTGAGACGATTCCACCAATCCGACCAGCGACGAAGGCTTGACAGAGCCTCATCGGGAGTTTTGGCAGCACCTGGCGTTTGAAGTTTAGCTAAAATCGTAGCTCGTTCAGTAGCGCCGCCCGGTTGAAAGTGCAGCAGCAATCGAAACACCAAGTGCAGCGTTGAAGATGTTACTCTGCGGGATGTAGCATCGGCTCGCAAAGCTGGCGACATCACGGCATACACCATGCTAGACATGCGAGCATTCAAACGTACCCACTTAGGATTTTGAGACTCTTTGGCTTGTGGCTCAATGCTCAAACGACGAAGGGGGTCGCATGCCTGCCATGTTTCATACGCTTCGTTGGCTTCTTTCAAGATGTGTTGCCACCAAGCTGCACTGGTCAAAGAAGCATCTTCTACTAGACTCCTAACCAACCGAAGCCAATCAGAGAACCTTATCGAAGAATCATCCGCGTTCACGTCTGGCAGTGAAGGTAACTCCGACTTGGAGAACTTCACAGTTTCAGCCTCGCTACCTGTTGGGGATTTTGATTCCATCGCTGCCCTTTGGAGGTCTTGAAGTTGGCATACACCCTGCGCTAACGCTTCCAACAGACTTGGGGTGGCTTGGGGAGTTGAGGTTCTTGGTGGGATCGTTCGAAGACTGGGATCAGATAAGCTAAAGACGGGGTTTGGAGGTTGATTGATTTCTGGAAACGTTGCTCTTGCACCTTGATGTCTTTCCTCCGGCCCTACGCCTAGCAATCCTAAACCCGATAAACCCTGCCCTTCCCGGCCATCCGTAATGCGCTGAGTTGTCGAGGACTCCACTTGATCCCGAGAGGCGAAAGGCAATTCTACCGACCCTAAACCCCGAGACACTGACCCCGACAAGCCCTGCCCTAACAACCCTGCCAAATTCCAACCCTGAGAACCCGTGACTCCCTCTACGCCCTTAGCAGGACTGACTGGCATTGCTGTTTGCAAACTTCCCGTCGCCTGTTGAGGATTCGTTTGGGCTTGAGCCGGTTCTAGATACGATCTAGTCTCAGTTGTTTCAGAAATAGGTCCTACTCCGGATAACTGGGTAATGCCTGCGCGGTCCTGTGGCATAGTTTGGTCCTGGGTGGCTAGTGGCGGCGCACGACTTATCGTGCTACCCTCTTCCGTTCCTACATGCGCCAGATTCCTTTGGCGGTCCACGCCGAACCTTGAGCCACCAAACCTTGAACCACCAACCTCATTCCCAAATCCAATCGACCCAGACCCTACCCCAACTCTACTAGGCAAACCTGACACAAAGCTGGAGAACGCCTGGGCAGCTGAGCTCCTCCAAGATGGCTGTGCCAAAGATTCTCGAGGCGGCTCTCTTGCGCTAGGCTTCTCATGGGGTTTCTTACGGGCTGAAGATTGGGGGCTTGCGTCTGTAATACTGCTGCTGACGGCGACAAACCCAACACTCCTTGCACTGCCGCCACTTGCTCACGAAGCAAGCCTGGGTGATGCAGAAGCTCCAGGAGCTCTGCAGGCGGCATTTGCAACAGAACGTCCACAACGACTCCTACATGCTCCGGGGCCCAGTACCTCACCTCTTTAGCTACTTCTTCCTCTAGGGTTCTCATTGCGAGCTGAGGGGGCAGCGATGCCAGATAAGCCGGAGTCAAATTAACATGAGGAGGTCCTTCCCTGAGGTCCGGATTCTCATTCGCACCCTGTTCTAGAACTGCATTACGTGGAGTTGCCAAGGAAGCTAGACGATCTCGGAGAACATCGTTCTCCCTTTCCGCCTTCTGTACACGTCCTAACAGACCCTCTAACTGTCGAGCTACCTCGGCTTGAATCGCATCCATTGGCAAGCTTGAGTGCGACGATGGCGGTCCACCAGCCTCCCAACTGACCTGCTGAACTCCACCTTCGCCATACAAATGCGGGGCATCTTGCTGATGTCGTCGAAGCTGCGCCTGCGCAGATGGCGAGAACAGTGGTGTGGCCGATTGGTCTCGAATAACGCTGGGTGCAGCCCCACTTGGTACCATAGCCGGCGGCGCCGACACCAAGCTCGCAGAGCGTGTATCCTTTTCCCTCGACTGGAAGAAAGAGCCCATGCCTTGCAGCCATCGCATTCCACGAGGTATCTGTCCCGGTGACGGTGCGGATGGTGGCGACGGGAGTGGGGATGCAAACAAACTTGCCAATGTCCGATGAGACACTGGAGATGCGAACATAGGTTCTGCGGTTTCAGTGCTTCTTTGCCCTGCTTGCGAATCATGAGCGGGAGTCACAGCTTGTCGTTCTCCATTTGCAGCGCCTGTTTGGCCTGCAGTCTGAATGACCTGTGCCGCGGCTCCTTCGGTCTGATGCTCAGCAGCAGCCCCAGAATTCACCGATTCCGCCTCTGCTATCATATGTAAGGGTCTGCTCGGGCCCTGCAGCGTACTTGGTAGATCAATGCCCTGATCTGCTAATTGCTGCTCCGCCCTTGCGAGATCCTGTGGACGAGGCATTTCAGGAGCTCCGGCTCCGACTCCTGCCCGGTCCGAAGACACTGCTGATGCAGCTGTCGTTGATGTATCCTCTTGAGAGCTTGCACCCGCGGTAGCGGCTTGGGCGCTCATAACCTGCGGAATACACCTGAATTCGACGGTGTACTCGTAATCAATCTCAATCTCAAATCCAGATTCTTCCCAACAATGCCCGAAATCCAACCTGCGATTCCCAGAATGAAAGGCCAAGGTCACAGGAAGCAATGGGCCGCGGATGAGATGCACTGGGATTTTCTCTGCACTGCAAAAGACGAAGTTAGATCCTCGAGGAAATCTTTACATCGAGCTTGCTATGCGATCTCAAAGGAATCTTCCAAGCTCCATCTCAAGGATAACTACGCTTATCATTTACTTTGGGACCGTCGCCTCTTGCTGAGCTTCACTTGAGCCACAGCAGGCAACACTGCATCTGTCGGCGACACGGCCGAACACCACGCAGTCCCAGCTGGTCTCTCCAAGACCTGGAGCACTTCCGCAGTACCCCTAGAACCCGAAATCCTCAATAAACCCTGAACTTCGGTCTTCTTTGACGTTGAATCCTCAGGCCCAACACACCTTAACCCCGAATAACCTACTTTTTAGGGTTCCTTATTATGATTTCCTTATATAAGGTCTTGAAGATTTAAGTTATTCCGGGTTGAGGCAAGCTTTGCACTCTCAGCCCTGCCGCTGGCTAAGCCCGAAACCCTACACCCTCAGCCCGAAATTATAAAGCCTCAGGCGAAATCCCCAAACCCTAAACCCCTCAACCCTGAACCCTAAACCCCAAACCCAAAACCCCTCAACCCCGAACCCTAAACCCGAAACCCTCCTTGTGGATCCCTTATAGGCACCCTTATACTAAAAGGAGCCCTAAAAAGGGAACCCTGAAACCCACAACCCTCAGCCCAATACATTCGGAGCGCAAGAGCCGAAGTAGTGTAGGGGCCTAAATGGGAGTTTCCGAAAATTAGGGGCACCTTATTTTGAGATCCTTATAATATGGATCCTACTATTTAGGGTGCGTATTGGGGTCCTCTATTTCCAGAAACTCCCGAATGATTACCAAGACAATTTTGGGGTTCCCTCAAAAGGGTTCCATACAGGGGTCTATGAGGGATCTTTAGTAGGGTTCCGTATCATAGTTAGTACAGTATACTCCAAAACCCTATTGTAATTATTAAGGCCCCTGTATCCTATACTTGGCGTTCTTCTGGTTGGCTCTTGGGACTTTAACTTTTTGGGTTTCTATATGAACTATAATAAGGAGGCTAAAAGTTGAACTTTTACGAGGGGTTCAGAAGTCAGCCAAGTATAGTAGTCAGGAGCAAGCGTTGGAGCATCTTGGCGTCTTCCTCCCGCTGCAGGTGCCCAGAGAAATCAGCGTTCCTTTGAGTTTTTTTTCCATGGTTTAGGGTTTTGGGGTTTAGGGTTTTAGGGTTTAGGGTTTTAGGGTTTTAGGGTTTTAGGGTTTAGGGTTCAGAAGCTTCCTCCAGGGTCTTGTTGGGGTTCGAGGTTACGGTTCAGGCTTTTGGGACTGGGGCTAGGTTTATGAACAAGTTGACAGAGCCGCAAAGCCTGTCATCAAAGCATCATGAACACTCTGTTCCTTCACCAAGCTGCATGCAATCTTCACGATGACCAAGAGGGGTAGTTCTCTAAATTAGGGTTCCTTTTCTTTTGAGGTGCTTTTGATAGGGGTGCCGTACTATTTTCGGGGACAAGACGGGACCTTAATTTGCAGAACTACCCATATGTCCCTAGACATTTAATTCAACCTCCACCCCCGCCCAAAAGTTCCAAGGTTTTTTCAGAAAGCCTGAGTTGAGCAAAGCCCAGCCCTAAACACTAGATCTCGAGCCAGCATGGGCAATCGAGCATGAAGATATCCCCAACTGATAGCATCCTCAAGTTTGCAAGCTCATGTGAGGCTTGTAGGAAACCCCTTTAAGGATGCCGCCGCAACCTCAGCCTTCGACGGTAAACCCCAGATGAGTCTCATGCTGAAACTGAAACACCGGCATCCCGAAGCCAGTAGAGAGAGGCTTGTTGACCCTGCATCATACAGGTTTCTGGCAACTGGATCAGGACATACAAACGCTCTGTTAAGCCCTAAGCACCTAAACCCCTAACCCCTAATTTCTAAAAGCACCTATCTCAACATGCACCTTTCGCCATTCCGATCCCTTAAACCCTTAAAGCCTCTACTATGGGGGCCGTAATAATTACCTATACTATTTTGGGGGTTCCTTATTATCAGTATAGCATAATGGGCCCCAAAACCCTATTCTAATAATTAAGGCCCCTATAGTAGTCTTAAACCTCGCGCCCCCAATCCTCTAGCTTCGAATTTCGAAAACCTGAAAACTAAGACTCGAAGTTAATTCCCAGCAACCACACCCCCTTCGAGTCCCGCTAAAGCTTTATTTTAATATACACCGAAACTAAACTTTTATCAGGTCTCTCTCATAAAACCACATAAAGCTTATACAGCCCTGTAAAACCTCCAAGCACCTTTACGGAAACCCTTGTTCCAAAAACCTTACAGCACCCTTTAACATCCCTGCCGGAGCCCGTATTCACAATCCCGTATAAAGCCCTGCAAATCCTTTCAGGCACCCTATTCAAAGTTCCTTGTACAGTAAGCCCCATAAAGTTGGAAACCGGATTATGGCCAAATAGTGCTGGGATTCCCTGTATATTACTCTTATAGGATTGAGGCTACTGGATTTCCCACTTTTAAGCTTCTACTGTAAACAAAATTCCGATAGATTCGGTTTGCCAGGTGAAGGAGGCTTTCCTCGAGGATGTGGTGATTTCTCTGCGATGGGGGTCCTCGGGCAGCGTGTCCATCCAGGTGAGCGGTTTGGGTTTGGGGTTGAGGGTTTGGTGTTGCGGGTTAAACTTTTAGGGTTTACCGGTTGCGGGTTTCGGGATTAGATTCGGGGCCTTTACATAGAGGTCTGAAGCTTTCGGTATCTTCATACAGGCAAAATGCATCTGTATATCTATGTGTACACACATATCGTTTATAAGGACATATACATATATGTACGTGCTATAAAGCCAAAAACCATCAGAAATTCGGTTCACGTCTCCATATCTTCTTTGCTGTTTTCTGGAGTTGCTTAGGGGTTTGAGTTTGAGGAAGGCTGGGGTCTGTGTAATGGAGATATACTGTTCTAAAGCGGTTCTTTGTTTATCATTGTCTTACGGGGGTTCATAACAGATTTCTATGCTGATTTGCTTAGCCAAACCCCCAACCCTCAACCCTAAACCCTAAACCCTAAGCCCTAAGCCCTAAACCCTAAGCCCTAAACCCTAAACCCTAAACCCTAAGCCCTAAAGCCTAAGCCCTAAACCCTAAACCCTAAACCCTAAGCCCTAAACCCTAAACCCTAAACCCTGAACCCTAAGCCCTAAACGCGAGACTCGAGACCCCAAGCCCGAATCAATGCGTGATGCTGTGCTGACTTGGGCATATCCGCCAGGCAAGACGATGCGTCATCAAGACGGCCGTGCGTCCGTACCAGGACACCCCGCGCAACATAGGAGACTGAATAGGTAGTCATACTACCCCCTATAGAGTTCCTTTCTTGTTATATCTATGAGCATAGCATACCCCCCAAACCCTAAACCCTAAACCCCATCCCTGTTCTATCCATGAAGGCCGCTAGACTATACTCTTATAGAAACCTTTATCGACCCTAAACCCTAAACCCTAAAGCCTGAAGCCTACTTGGAGGGTCGGAGGAGGTAATAAGTAGAGTTATAAGTACCCTAAAAGGGATCCTAATTCGGGTTATGGTTCTTATGAGTCTCCAAAACAAATAGTTACTAAGTCCCCCGACTCTCCAAGTAAATCCTAAACCCTAAACCCTAAACCCTTATCGAAGCCTCAGCGAGCCCCGAAGATTGGCTTTTTGAGTCTCAGGGTCCCAGCCCCATCGACTTCTTGCATTGATACTGTTGATGATATAACTCCTAGGGTTCCTTTAAAGGGATCTATAAGGCTTCCTTAAATGGGGTCTATAAGGGATCTATAGGGGTTTAGGGTTTTAGGGTTGATGATATAAGTCCTGCACTACCCACACTAAGGAGTATACCATGGTTCCCATAGTTTAGGGCCCTTAACGTAATGCAGGCTTTGTATCATCAACCGTATGCGTTGCTCTCCAAATGAAGGTCGCTTTTTTAGGTTTCCCAACATAGCACGGCACCTTTTACCAAGGACCCTACAAGGGACCCTAATATAGAGAACTACCCATATGCTTGTTTTTAAGGGTTCAGAGTTTTGGTTCGGGGATTATGAATTATGATGGCTTACTTGTGGGTTTAGGGTTTAGGGTTCAGGCAAAAAGGCGCGATGGAAGAACCTGCGCCAGCGAGCTCCTTCGTCCCTGAGCCCCAAATCCTTGAGCACCTAAACCCAGATGGGGGTTTTCGAAAATCAGGGGTACCTTGTTTTGGGGTCCTTGTAATGAGGATCCTACTCTGTAGGGCATTGTATCAGGGTCCCCTATTTTCGGAAACTCCCAAAAAGCTCCATGGAAGCCTCTAAAAACCTCCAAACCCTAAGCCCGTAAACCTCTGAAGCCCATAGTAGAGGTGTTGTACTGCAAGGGTGCATAGCGGTCGGAACACTTTTTTTTGGTTTTGACGAGGGTTTTTTCAGGGTTGATTTTTTTGGTCTCTTTCTCTAAGGCCTATTAACCGTAAGCCGTAAACCTTACTAGTAAATCTTATGAGGGTTCTTGTTGAATTGCCACTGCAATATGGGTAGTTCTCTAAAGTGGGGTCCCTTTCTTAGGTCCCCAATGTAGTACGGCAGCCCCCTTTGTCAAGAAACGGGACCCGAATCTTGCGAACGACACATGTTAGAAGGGGCCCCCCTGTATTCGTGGTACAAGAGGAATATACTAGGGCCCTAATAGCATCCTTATAGTCACCATTACAGGGGGCAGCTTCTAAGACACATGTAGCTAAGACAGCTCGGAGCTTGGGACCTTGGCGTTTTGCCAACAGTCAGCTGCTAGAAGGGTTTCTGGTGCCATGATGCTTCCTCTTCCGGGAGAATGGTGGCTCAAGCTACCTTGCGTCCCTTCGCTTTGTTTGCGAGTTTCATGATTTCGTAAGGCGTGCGCGATGGCCAGAAATCCTCTCTTCTGCACCATCTTTGTGCCTGGGTGCTCCTTAGGAATCATGTTTCATTCCATGGCACTCGAAACCCGAGGGGGTGCTAGGACTTCTCTATTCGTAAGGCCCCGATATTCAACCCTCAAAGCAACTGTCGAGTCTAACGACAAAGGCCCCTTTATAAGTATAGTACAATAGTTATGTACAGTATAATATACCCTCGAACCTGATAGACACTTAAACGAACCTTGAAAGGAACCCCGTTCTAGTTAAATCAGGAAGGCCCCTGCATCAGAGGTGCTGCTGGTCTCCACCACCATGGCTTTGAGGACGGATGCGGAACTCGAGCAAGATCCGTGCAGGGATTTTGACAAGAAGACAGAATCTCGGCCAAATATAGGGGCCCAGATAATTACCAAAGCTATGTTAGGGGTTCCTTATTATAGGTATAGTATAATGGGGCCCCAAAACCTCATTAAAATACTTAAGGCACCCATATTTGGTTTTAGGGCTTCGGGTTTAAGGTTTGGGGTTTAGGGATTCGACAAGAAAGCGTTCAGTGGTAGGTTTTTTCGGGATTTTTTTCAAAGGGGTTCCTCTAAGGGTTGTAGGTCCCCACGCAGCACCCTTTTGCGTTCACTCTTGCCTTGCCCTAAACCCCTAAACCCCCAAACCCCAAAAAGAACCCTAAACCCCTAAACCCCTAAACCCTAAACCCCGAAACCCCTACACCCCTAAACCTTTAAACCCCGACCTCGACGCCCTGATTCGGAAGGGTACACTGAGCAAGCAAGGAGTACGGCGGTGCCGGCGGTAATGCCTACGTGATTCGCTTTACGAAGAGGTGCGGAACTATTCCTCCAGGCTCCGTGGCCAAAGCCTTCGTGGACGAAGAGATCTTCAACTCTTCCTATCGTGTCCTGAACAACCTCCCCGATGTGAAGGCGTTTTCGGGTTAAGGGTATCGGGGGGGGTGTGTGTTGTGATGTCTCTTATACGTGTTTAGGGTTGGGCTGGTTCTTGTGATGTTTCTCATAGGGCTTAGGGTCTTTAACTTTTCCTGTCGTGTCCTGAATCTGAACCATCTTCGCGATGTGAAGGCATTGGCTGGCCTCGTGCCAGCGCAGAAGAAATTTGATGGCTTGTGCGTGCACGTGAAGAAGACAGACGACTGTTGCAGCACATGGAAGGCCACAAAATCATCAAACTTGAGCAGAAGGCTAAGCGGAAAGCTAACCACGCAATGAAGCAAGCTATTTCCATTTTTTATTTTGCATGTTTTAAACGCCATGAACCCTAAATTCCGAGTGTTCGACGTTTGGAGCACATGGAAGGCCACGAAAACTTGCCACTTTCTGGTCATGCAGGATGGAGGTGCTTTGGACGTGGAGAATATGGGGGCCTGAATGACTGCCAATAAGGGCTTGTGGTTTAGGCCCAGGCATTATGGTTATAACTGATACTTCTACGATAATGTAGCCCAGGACCATGTTCTAATTATTAAGGCCCCTATATCAACATCCTGGCAAAAAATCATTGTGAGGACACTGGTCGCAGTAGCATCTAAGCCCTAAGCCCCAAACCTAAATTCTAAAAGCCCTAAACCCTAAACCCAAGCAGAGGTGCGAAAACACTGGAGCAATGCGTCGAGGGATATGCACTGCCCACCGGCAAGCTAAAGGAGCTGATATTGTCTGCCATCAATGCCGCCCTCTCCCTACACAAGAAAGGTTGGTACCACGGGGACTACCAGCTCAAGAACCTGATGGCGGACCACGTGTGCACCCCGAAGAGCTTAAAAGTAGTCGACTTGGATGGTATGGGCAACGCGGAAGGTACTGCCGGCGAGGCATGGAACAAGCCGCACCGCATGCTAAAAGACTATGCGATGCTGTTTGGCAGTTGCGATCTTGGTGCCATGTCCATAGCCGAGTTCACGTACAAGTCTCCTACAGCCAAGCAGGAAGCAAAGCGTATCGCTGCTGCAGTTGCACCCGTCATGAGCCCATTCTGCCACGGCGCATGGAACTCGAGCCCGGAGGACATGGTGAAGTTGCTGGGTTGTCCTTTGGGATCTTTTTTTGATTTTCCCTACTATTCTGTAGAGAACCACAATAGTACATAGTTTTCAAAGGGCTTAAAGGACAACACAGGTTGGGACAGAGGCTTAAGAGCGCCGTCGAAGCTGTCAACTAAGCTGTGCAACTTCATCACCTCCATTGTCTGGCAATCGAGCCGCACCGAGCTTTGACGAATGGGCAGCAAAAGCCTTGTATAGTGCTTAAGACCCATACAGTACTCCATATTGCTCTACAATCCGTTTCTCTTGAACTTTCAGAAAACCCTTTGTAAACTCCTTGACACATAGGAGCCCTGCGTGATTCTAGGGCTTGGGGGCTTTGGTTTTGGGGTTCGGGGTTATAGGGTCTAGGGCTTTAGGGTTTGGGGTTTAGGCTTTAACATGGAAGTCTGAAGAATTGCCAATACTCGTCCTTCGGGGTTCCTTGTTCCTATTTTGTTGGTTAAATTCCTGCATTACCCATCAGGAATAGACCATTATTCCCATAGTTCAGGGTCCTCCAGGTAATGCAGGGTTTGTATCATCAACCGCATAATACGCAAAGTTTGAATCCAATGCCAGACCCCATACTCTAGCTCTTCAGCCCCTTCTCAGGGTCGGAGGCTACTTTCCACATATATATATATATATGTGTGTGTCTCCCCGTTATAGAGAGATACTCTTTGTTTCGTTCCCAGGAACAGGTTGTCGAAGAACGCGATTTCTAATGATGGACATCCTAACCCCCCAAACTTTAACCCTGAACAATACAGCAAAGGACCTTATGTTGACTTAGGTATGATAAAGCGCCCGCGAACTAGCCGGATACCTTCAATAATTTGAATAGGTCTTGGGGTAGGTTATCGCACCAAATTCTTATCATGTCTTACTAACTAGTCCTACACCAGTTCAAGACCCTATGGAACCTTCATAACGCGGTTCATAACACGCATTATCAGCATATAGAGGCTATCTATAGATGGCTGCTGGTTGCTTTGTTGAGCTTGTTCCCTTGGTTGGGTCATTGGTGCCCCTATAGGGATCCCCCTACAGAATTCTTTGCTGACCTTTGAAAGGGCTATACAAATCTATCAAAACCTCGTATAGAAACGATGAGAAAGCCCTACACCAAACCCTGAAGCTTGGACCCTAAACAAAAGCCCTAAAAGGAAGCAGAGATCAGGGCAGCAAGTTGGGGTTTCAGGAGCAGTGCTCAGTTGAAGATACGTGCAAAGGCCGGAGGTGCAAAAACTTGAGACGGGTTTTAAGGTTTAGGGGATTAGGATAAACCTTAGGGGTACTTAGAAAAAGTTTGAATTTTGGTTATTATAATCCCTAACAAACAGCTTAAATTTCAGTTTTGGCTAGGGTTTAAGGTTTAGGGGATGTGGATACACTGCACCAGTCTTATCGCAACAACGCCTTTTGTATAGAGGCATAGTGAATGAGTAACATACCAAGAGTATGCACAAGATTGGCAACTGTCGTTCATGATCGCCCGGGCTATGTTGGTGGGGCCTAGGGTTCAGAGTGCAGGATTTAGGGTTCTCTAGTAGCTAATGTCCGCACAGCGATGATTGTTTTGCGTACTGACTGCGGGCCCTAAGCCCTAAAACTCAAACCGTAAACTCCGACCCCCTAAACCCCCAAGTGCCAACTGAAGCCTCAAAGTTCAACAAGCAACAAAACCTAATAAGTCTAGAACCCTAAGAGAACTTGGAAAGAAAACCCTAAGGAACCCTTCATGCAGCGGTAGCACCTGAAGCTCTAAAGCCTGAATCCTATCCAGAAGCCCAAATAATTCTTCTTCCTTGGGTTTCCCTATTATACTCATACTATAAAGGAGTCCGAAGCCCCATTCTAATCAGCAAGGCCCCTACATTCCACAAGCGCTTATCTCCAAACCCTTCATTCAAGCATTAGTCGACTGAGCAGCGCCAGGATTGGATTGAGACTTGGCGTGCAGCCTCTCGCATGCATAGGGAGTTTCTGTATCCCGAGACCCAACTTTCAAGGTTCGTGAAGGGCTTATAGGTGTCTCATAAGGATTGTTATGCATGCATAGCTTTTTACAGAGCTTTTACAGGTCTCTTCCACGTACGAGCTTCTGAGTATTTCGCAACAGTACGCCTTAGGGCACCCTGACTACTGAACCCCCCAAACCTTCCCGCAAGGGGCTCCCGAAGCGCTTAGCCTAAAACCCTAATCAATAGCCCGAACCCCAAACCCCAAGCCCTAAACCCTACCTTAACCCGGAATAACCTACCCTTCTCAGGACTTATATGAAAGGAAATGACAATAAGGAAGCCTAAAAAGGTAGGTTATTCAGGGTTAAGGTACTTAGAGAATCATGGGACTTAGTAGCGGCTAGGGTTATAATTAAGGTAACTATACTTGTACTTCCTGATAACCCCAATTAAGGTACTTATAGCCTCGCCATACTTACTAAGTCCTATGATCCTCTAAGTCCCATCCCCCAAAATGACGCTGGTGTGATCTGCGGCTTCATCTACGGATTCCTCAGGGTTTCAAGGTTTGGGGTTTAGGGTTATGAGATAAGGGAGATGGTGCCAAGGTTTAGGGTTCGGGGGCTTCTGTGTTCAGGCTTTGCGGTTATGAGGCCATCCGGTTTAACCCTAAACCCTAAATGCCAAACAGTTTCGAGATTCCTACCAACGCATCCACAAGGCGCCTGACCTATCCGGCCGGGATGCAGCCAAGAGATTCAAGGTGGGTTTAGGGCTTCGGGTTTAGGTTTTGGGGTTCGGGGTTATAGGGTCTAGGGCTTTAGGGTTTGGGGTTTTGGGTCTAGGGCTTCAGGGTTTGGGGTTTAGGCTTCTTAGGTCCCTGAAACGGTGGCCAAAAGGTTAACAATGCTAGAAGGGTTCTAGAAGGGTACTATAAGGGTTCTACAATGTACAGGCCTTCATAACTAGACTAGGCTCTCGGGCTTTTAGGGTTTAGGCTATGATACAGGGGCCTCCACAATCAGAAGAGTTCTATCAGGGTTAGCATAGGGGTTCTAGGATTCACGGCTATGGGTGCGTTTTCTTTGGTGAGGCTTGAGGGATTTTCGGTTTCAGTAGGCTTCGGGTTCATGGCTTCAAGGCTTTGATTGGCCCTGAAGTTTGAGGGTTTTTAGGGTTTCGGGGTTTAGGTGTTTGGAGCTTCAGGGTTTAGGGTTTAGACTGAGGGTTATTCGAGGGTATGTAGGGCGACCCTGGGAGCGTATCTGGTTACCTGGGGAGTACATCTGTGCTTCCAAGGCTTAGGTTTCGTGCGTGTTTGTCGAGTTGCTGGCTTTGGGATTGCGGCTTCAGGGTTCACCGCTTCGGAGACTAAGTCTGAAAAGTTGGAGTCCTGTGATTCTTGTTGCATGGTCTTTCGTGCCTTTAGTTCATGTGAGTGGTTGTCAAAATTACGGTCCCTTTTGGGGTCCCTATTATAGTACGGCACCTATTATTTAGGGTACCCAAAAAAGGGCCCTAATTTTGACAACCACTCATGTGCTTCGGTCTGGCTGTCATGGTGTGGAAGCCCTGCGCTGAATACATCCCATGTGACCCTAAACCCCCAATACTTTAAACCCCAAGCGTACGGTACCTGAAGCCCCAAAGCCCACCATGAACCCAATACGCCTTCAACCCCAAAACTACTATACCCTAAACCCTGAAACCACTACAGAAGGGGCCACTATGAACCCAAAAGCACTTCAAAACCTAAGCCCACTACCCTAAACCCTAAACTCTCCGTAGTTGCAGACGGAAAAAGGGCCCGAATCGACAGGCGGCTGCCCTACGAGAACACGAGGAGGAGGTCTCGCCACTACAGGGGCCTAAATAATTGCCGATGCTAGATATTTTGGGGGCTCCTTATTCGAGTGAAGGTATAACATCACCCCAAAACCGTATTCTATTTATTAGGGCCCGTATATTACGGCTTAGATTTTGCGGGTTCGGGGCTTGCGAGGGGTGGATGGGTAGTCTGCGACGGTGTTTAGGATTTGGTGGCGGATTGAGACCTGTAATGTTGGTCTTTTGAATCAGCGCCACTCCTATTCTCTAAACCCTAAACCCTTATTATATCTATACTATATATCCCCCGACCCGTATTCCGATGGTTCAATGGTTCAAGCTTGGGACTCAAGCTAAGTTGTCAACTTCGCTCTTCAAGCTTCAAGTCTCTTAGGGGTACTTAGAAATAACTTTTGATTTTTGGCTATTATGATCCCTAAGAAACAGCTAGAATCATAATTTTTGCTAGGGTTCTAAGTTCCGTCTAGTGACTTCTGGAGGTTCTTCAACCCTGGGCCCCTGAACCCTTTCTGACTCTGAACCCTGATGGATGCCCTCTTCAAAGGAACCCTTCAAGTTTCTTAAAGGAGCCCGAAAGGGAAACCCGACAGGAAACCTTAAAGGAACCTGACAAGGAACCATTAAGGCAACCTTAAACGGAACCCGCAACGGAACCCGAACCTTCAAAGGAACCCTGCACCCGAAACCATGAGTCCTAAACTCCAAGCCCTAAACCCTGAACCTTGAAGGATCGCTAAGCCCCAAACCCTGAATCCTAAAGCCAAAAGGAACCCTTCAAGGGTCACTAAACCCCAAAAAGGAACCCTTAAAGGATCCCTAAAACCTGATCCTTAGGCTCGACTCGGGCAGGCGTAAAAGTCACCTTCTTGTAAAAAAGAACCCTAAGGATTTCCTGCTTTTTTGATCCTTAATGTAGCTAATATATACCCGTTATATAGCCCATGATGGGGTAGGGGTCCCCATTAAGGGCTAAACCTTAAACCCTAAACCCTTAAAGGAACCCCTTTAAGGGAACCCTTGAAGGGAACCCTTTTAGGGTCCCTCCTTTTTCCTTTGGCTAATGATTTCCTGCTTTTTTGACCCCTTCCCGGCCTTCTGCCAGGTCTTAGCGCTTGCTCGGAGGCAACTCGGGCTCGCGGGGGCCCTGGTCTTCCAACAAGACTTTGCTTAGGGTTTTAGGGTTTTAGGGTTTAGGGTTTTGGGGTTTAGGGTTTAGGGTTCAGGGGTTTTGGGTTTAGGAATTTAAATACATTCTAATTAATTACCTTGATATTGATCTATAGTAAATAGTAGTATGGTTTCTTTATCATGGTAGCTTACATTAAACTCCTTAGCGAGAACCCAGCCTCCGGCTGGCACTGGTGGGTGTGGGGGTTTCTGGGGTTTCCGGGGTTTGGGGTTTGGGGGATGAGGAATGACGGGTTTAGGGGTTCAGGGTTTAGGGGTTAAGATATTCATCAGAATTTGGATGTATCGAATAGTTTCCTCTAATATGTAACAAAATGTATAAACACCAAAAGCTCTATATATTCTTTACCCCTAAACCCTAAACCCTAAACCCCTAAACCCTAAACCTCTAGAGAGGCTTTGAGCAGGTCGCTGAGTTTCTGGTCCTCGGAGCGCTGTCCTTGCTTGGGATCGAGCTTGAACCTTCATAGAATGTTTCGAAAATCCCTGGTGGAACAGGTATTCTAAGAAGCCGGAAAAACAGGTCGAGCAAGAATTGTTAACACGAAACCTGAGTTTTCACCGTCATAGCAATCGCAGAAAAAGGAAGCAACACACAGCAATGGCAGCAAGTAAAGTGTGCATCATACTCGCAGAGAAAGTCTTGCTATTGCCAAACCATACCCTAAACCCTGAAGCCCCATCAGCGCCCTGAACGCCCTGAACGCCCTGAAAGCCTAATCCTAGGCCTTAAACCTGTAACCCTAAACCCCAAACCCTAAATCCTGAGCCCCAAAAAGCACTTGCTTGCTGCAGGAGCCAAAGGGGCAGGGCTCCGCGCTTTTCATGCCGGATCTCGAGATCACCCTTGGTACAGGCCCTGAAATCAAGGGGTTTGGGCTTTAGAACTTTGGGGTTTGAGGTATTCCTTGCAGTTCTTCAAGGGTTGTAAGGGGTCTTATAGCGGCTTTTATTAGGGTTTGAAGAAAGGCTCTGTGAGGGTCTTAAAACCGTGAAAGCAAGGGTTCAAGCAGGGTGCCGCAAGGGTTCTGTAAGGGTTCGGTCAGGGTCCTAGGAGGTATCAGGACATGACATAGAGGGTTTGCAAAAACGAGTAGCAGTATCAATTCCCTTATAGCATGTGCCACAAACCCCAACTTAATTGAGAAGGTGAGTTACTGCAGCCCTAAACCCTAAACCATCCTAAACCCTGAACCCCGGAACCCCCAAACCCTAATCTAGACCCTCAACCCCCTAAACTCCAAACCCCTAAACCCCCCCCGAACCCGAGGCAATTTTGGTGTCTCGCTTTGTTCAATTTCGGGGCTAAACTTCGGGCCGTGTGATGCTTTCGGTATGCTACAACTCCGAGCCTTCAGTTTCCGGGTTTAGGGTTTAGTTGGGGGTTTCGGAACCCCTGTGAATTATAGACTCCTTGTAGGGTGTAGGGTTTAGGGTTTCGGAACCCTTGTCAATTATAGGCCGGGTTTAGGGTTTAGTTCGGGGTTTCGGGCATATTATGGACCGCTTGTAGGGTGCAGGGCTCGGCATGTCGTTTCATGAGTAAGACTCATCCAGGATGCCCACCGCAGTTCTTCGAGTTTAGTCTGGCCTTGCCTTCGCGGACCATATCGTCCAAGGGTAAAAGGAGGGACCCTTAACAAGGACCCCTAGGTATATACCCTTAATATGGCTATTATATACCCATTATATAGCCCATTATAGGGTAGGGGTCCCCATTAAGGGCCCCTCCTTTTCCCCTAAGCCCTCTAAACCCCCAAATCCCGAAACCCTAAACCCTATACCCTTATAGAATCCCTATAGATCCCCATTAAGGGTCCCTTTTCCCCTTTGAATATCGGCGTTTGGGCGGAGGAAGGGTGAGCAGATCGGGGTTTAGGATCTACGAATCCGACCACAGCCGCAACATCGGAGGCACCAACCCGCAACCCCGGATCCTAAGATCCCTACCACCCTAAACTTTCAATGAAAAAATAAACCTGAAAGTTGTGAACTTTTTTAATGCTTCAACAACCCTAAACTCTAAATCACTTGTGATCAAGAAGTTCAACATTGTTTCCCACAGCAAGGAAAGCATGTTCGGCGCTATCACATCCTCGTGCTGACAACTTGAACTCTGCCTCGGCACGCCCAACAAGAAGCTTGTACAGCTCTTACGCAATCCCCCCAAAAAAGAAAGCTGAACCCTAAACCCGAGACCCTTTTCATCCAGAAGAAGGCCCAAATAAAGAGCAGCCGACACCCAAGAGCCTTGCAGGTGCTGAGGAGGCAGATAGCTTGCAGCTGGAGATCGAGGATACGCAGGCTCGGTTCGGGAATTGGAGCTGCAGAGATTTTGTAAGGGAGTAATTGGGCGTATGCTTTAGTAAGGTTTGGTAGGCTTTAAACGGCAGGGTCTGGTGAGGTTGAATGAGGGTTTCGGTGTCTTTGGGTTGCTTTCTAGGAATTACGGTTGATTGTTTTCTTGCTTCAGTTTGTTGAAGGTTCGCTGCCAGGTTCGGGTTAGTTTCGGGGTACTGGCTTCAGGTCCGGTGTTCACACTGTTTAGGGCTTGTTGATTTGGGGGCTTTGGGCGTGAAATCTCGGCGTTAGAGTTTAGAGGTAGTTCAGCGGTTGGAGCTCAAAGACACAACTGAGCGCTCCTTCGTGCTGGTTTCATGAGAGGCCAGAGAAGCTAGCAATGCTATTCCTGGGGGGGCTCTTGATGCAAAGGATCTACTGTAATTTGCCCTAAGACCCAAAACCCTAAACCCCAAACCCCAAACCCTAAAGCCCTAAACCCTAATGCCCTAAACCCTAAACCCTGTTCTAAATTATAGAGGTCCCTATGTTGAGCCCGCGCATCCTGCAGCCATCGCGATTGAGATGAAATCCTGGATTGGAAGCCCTAAGCTCCCGCCTCTTCCCTCAAACTGAAACAGGGTTTAGGGGGAAGGGAAGGGTTTGGGGTGTAGGGTTTAGGGAAACAGGCTTTAGGGTGGAAGAGTTTAGGGTTTAGGCTCCTAGAAGCTCGTTTCGCCGACAGGCGAAATCCTTCACTTAGAGACCCAAAACGCACCCAAACGGCCCTAATCTCTAAATCCTGGCTACAACAGACCCAAAAAGGAGCCCTAAAAAAGAATCCTTGCTACACCCCATACAAACCTAAAGCCCCCCACCCTCTTGTGTAGGATTACATATCCCATCCTACCCCAAACCGCCAGAGCCGTCCTGGTCGGAGTTTCCCGCCTTAAAGGAACCCCTGAAGGAAGAAAGGGGCCGGTAAGGAGCCCTTCAAAAGGGAATTAATGTAAGTTACCATAAGAGGGATCTCTAGTAAATAATATGGTTTCCTTGTTATGGTAACTTAAAGTAACCTCCCTTAAAGGTGCAACCCTCAAGGAGACCTTATTCTTGAATCCTACAGTACCCCTTTTGTAGAACCCTACAGCAAAAGTTAAAGGGACCATTGTTGTAGAACCCTATGGTACCCTCAAAAAAACCTTATTAAAGAACCCTATAGGACTCTTGAAGGGGACCCTCTTGTAGAACCCTATTGCGCCCTTTATAGGAGCCCCGCTGTTAGCCTTTGAAAGGAACCCAAAGAGCACCCTTAAGGGGACCTTGTTCTGTAACCCTAAATTTCCCGTTAAAGTGGCCGTATTATGGAACCCTACTGCACTGGTTATAGGATCTTAGCCTGTAAAAGGAGCCCAAAGAGCACCCGAGGCAGACGCCCGGGTTCCGCTGGCCATCAGCTTGAGCGGACGGCTGGCTTTCAACCTCTCCCTCCGGCATCTGGCGAGCCCGAAGTACCCGGCGCGACAGGGTTCCAGGATTAAAGGTTATAATGTTAGCTGTTTCTTAGGGATTTTAGGGCTTTCGGGCTTTAGAGTTCAGGTTTTAGTTCGGAGGGCGTTCAAGGGGTTCTATCAGGATTCCAAAACCGGGTTTTCGGGAGGCTTCTGACAAGTTTTCGTCTTTGAAGCACCAGGAGTGGTTTTAGGGCAGATCATGAGTAGAGACGGGAGGCGTACTTAGAGGATCATGGGACTTAGTAACAGGGTGATAATTAAGGTAACTATACTTATAATTACTTATAACCACAATTGAGGTACTTATAACCATACTTACTAAGTCCCATGATCCTCCAAGTAGGGTTGCAGGGTTTATGAGTTTTTGTGCTACAGGGTTCTTGTTAAGGGATGTAACTATAGATCCTGATTCTCGCAAAATTAACTTCACGAGAGCCCAGTTTGTTTGGGGTTTCAGAGGCTTGGGGACGTAGGGTTTCGCATTCTCTAGAGTCTAAAGAGGGATTGGGATTCAGCAGGGTCTTCGTGTGTCAGGAGATTAGATCACGGGGCGGTTTATTTGGAGACTTGGCATGTAGTGTGTTAGGCTTGGGTTCGGCTGTCGGGGTTTTGGTAATATGTGCTGGAAGATATGCCCAAACCCCATACTAACCACTAGGGCCGGGCCCTAATCGTAGCTGTTCTTATTAGTCCTGAATTCAGGCAGCCGGGTTTATGGGTCCTACTTGGAGGGTCGGGGGACTTAGTAAGTAGGTAATAAGTAGAGTTGTAAGTACCCTAAAAGGGATCCTAATTGGGGTTATGGTACTTATAAGTCTCCAAAATAAATAGTTACTAAGTCCCCCGACCCTCCAAGTACCCAGGTCCTACGGTTGATGATGTAAACCCTGCATGACCTTAAGGGCCCTAAACTTCGGGAATTGTGGTATTCCTTGTTATGGGTAATGCAGGATTTATATCATCAACCGTACCCATAAAGGCTGGGGACCCTCAACCCTGGCGGTGATGGGCTGCCTGAGGGGTCCCTTGGGGTAATTCGAGCAAGCACAGAAACTCCCGGGACCGTCGTTTACGGTAAACCTTAGAAGGGGCCCCCACCCTGTAACAGTGGTATAATGGGAACATGATGCCCTAATATAAGCCTTATAGTCACTATTACAGGGTGGGGGCAGCTTCTAAAGTAAACCCCATAAAGTTGGAAGCCGGATTAAGGCCAAAGAGTGCTGGGATTTCCTTTGCATACCCTAAACCCTAATCACTCTTAAGGATAGAGGCTATTGGATTTCCAACTTTGGGGCTTCTACTGTAGTTGTTGAAGCTCTGCGACATGGCAGGCTTAGCCGTAAACCCTGAAAGCCATCATCCGGCAACCCTTCATGAAGACGCGCAAGGTTTGTTTCGGCTTGGGTTTGATTCTTTCGTTAAAGTTGCGCTTTAGGGTTTAGGTTTCGGGTTTAGAGTTTAGGGCGGGGCAAGAGCTCTGATTTTCTCTGGGGTGTTACATTCCGGATTTGAAACCCTAAACCCTAAACCCGAAACCCCTAAACCCCTAAACCCCTAAACCCCTAAACCCCTAAACCCTAAACCCCTAAACCCTAAACCCTGAACCCCGGCTCAGAGCTCATGGGCTCTGGGTCGGGCCGCGGGGCCGCACGGTTCAGGATTGTACTTGGAGGATCATGGGACTCAGTAAGTATGGTTATAAGTACCTCAATTGGGGTTATAAGGAATTATAAGTATAGTTACCTTAATTATAACCCTAGTTACTAAGTCCCATGATCCTCTAAGTAGGGTCTGCACGGCTCGAACTGGGCCCCACCATGCCTTAGCATTCGACCTTTAATGGATTCCGGCGGAGATATAGAAGGCTATCAGCAAAAGGCCCGAACATAGGGAACGCTGTATGAAGCCCAGTCATAGACCTTAAACCCTAAACCCAAACGAATCCACTGTGAAGCCTTGAATAGACCCGAGCCCCCAGGACGAAATCCAGAACCCTAGCCCGAGGATCCTCAGGGAACCCTTTGTCAGGAAGCAGACTCTGAACCTTGAGCCTGAATTCCTAGCGAACCCTTTATGCAGCTTTTTCTAGACCCGAAAACTGCAGGCTTGGCGATTAGACCTGAACTTCTTTGATGTCGCGCTCGGCTGTGCACTGGGGGCGGAGTTCCTCGTCAGAGCTGAGCGGAGCTGGGTGCTTCGAGGGTTTCGTTAGGGGCTTTGGGCTTTAGTCTAGGGGCCTTGATAAATTACCTATCCTATTCTGGGGGTTGATTATTACATTTATTGTGGCCCCAAAACCCTATTCTAATCATTAAGGCGCCTATATTAGGGCTTTAGAGTTTCGGGCTCGGGGTTGTCCTGAAACCTAGATTCCCTGAGCTTCACCCTTACCAGGGGTAGGATATCAGGTAGTTCTCTACGTTAGGGGTCCCTTTTAAGGCCTCCTTAAGGGGATGTCTAGGGCTCCTTAAGGTGAGAGAGGACCCGCTGAAACCCTCGAGCCGATTCAAACCGAAGGTATTTCGTGTTGGTGCCCCAAGCCCCAAGCCCCAAGGTTTAGGGTTCTAGGTTTGGGGTTCTATGGGTTTAGGGTTTAGGCCTGAAGACCTCGTTGCAAAGAACTAAACCTTGAGCACGCAAGCCCAATGTCAAAACTCTAAACCCTCAACCCTAAACCCTAAAGCCCTAAACCAGGCATCTCGGTTTGCCAGCTTGCATGTTGCAAGATTGCAGTTAGCGCCCTTTTGACCACAACGCCAATTTGGCGTGTGGCTTGTATCACCTCTTCGGCATTTTGCCATGGCCAACCCCGCGCATGCCGCTCTGAGCCCTGCAGAACTGGCGGCAGTACAGCAGTTTGAGAACCAGCGCACGCATATTGCTGGAGCAGCGGAGTTCATGGCCAGTCAGCGTCAAAAGCGTACGAACAAGAAGCGCCGCTCGCCCACAACCCCGATGCAAAGTGGGGGAGGAACGCCCACCGGGGACCACAACGCGGCGCCTGGAGGCGCAACCGGATCGGCCGAGGATTTGGGACCAAGCTTGGTACAGCCAGTCACAGTGCAGGACGAGGCCGCCTTCGCTTTTACAGCTGCAGACCAAGGTATCGACATCAACGTGGCGGCGAATCTGCAGACTTGGCTCACAACGCCAGTTCAGACCAACCGCGATGTACTTCGTTTGGTCCGCTCCTACCACAAGCAGGTTATTCGGCCGGAGTACTACAACATCGCGATCCAGCTCGAGACGGCCTTGAAGCACATCGACGACAAGGTCTTCCAGACCAAGCGTGAGCTGGCATGGATGTCTGCGGACAATCGGTCCCAGCAGAAACACCTGGCAGGACTTCAGTTGATCACAACGGGATGGCCGGCTGGAGTCCGCCCAGAGCAGCGCCTCTACCTTATTGGGTGGATGTTGCAGCAGATCCCTGCAGTGGCTACTTTTCTGCAGGTGAGGGGTCTGCTTTCGGACCACAACTCCACCACCCAGTACCTCAACGTCCTTTCCACGGAGCCAACCACGGTGCCACAGGGCACCTTCTTTTCCTCAATGACGGTCCTCTCCTTCAAAAGCTGGGACATGAGGCAGGCCTTCATCCAGAAGTACGGTGGCGGCTCGGGCACACCCCTCTACCTTGCGGAGGACCAGCCCATGCGAGGCCACCACATCAAGGTGGTGCCAAACTCGCCGCAATGGCAGAGAAAACTCGAATCTCCTATTCGAGTGATCCTGGCGGCTATGAACACAGCGGACCACAACCCCGACAACAAGCGCTTTGTTATACTGTGGAAGTCCTTGACCATCATGGAACCCATGGACCAAGACGCCGGCTTCAAAGAGGATGCCAGGGCATGGGCAAGGATCTTCTACCAGAACAAGGGCGGTGAGTTCGAGGGTCGCCTTGAGGTGGTTCCAGAGCTGAACCGGATTCTCCTTAGCGGTCCGGAAAATGTGGACGCTCAGGAGGACACACTCTGGGAAGAGAAGTGGGGCCAAATCCAGTGGGGACCACAACGCGAGCTCGACGAAGCTGACAAAGTGGCCTTTGGTGCAGCCTTGCAGCAGAGCAAGGGTTCTGGCAAGGGGGTTTCCTACAAAGGCAACCGGCACTGGTCGGCTCCAATGGTGCATTCGAGCTATTATGCACCTTTTCCGTTCGAGATCAACATCGTGGAGGTGGACCACATCGCATTTTCCTGGGATGAGTACTGTACAAAGTGCGGTGCTACGCAGCATATGGTCGGAGACCCTGCTGCTTGCACATACCAGGGGAAGCCTGTGCTCGAAGAGCCCGATGCCACTATGGCGGAGGGTGAGACCACAACGCCAGGTGCACCCCCCCAGGCGGCAGCATCCACCAAAGGTGCCAAGGGAGCTGGAAAGGCCAGCCGCAGTTCCTGATGGGGTCTCTGGTGCATCGATCAAAAGGCACCTGGCCCACAACGCCCGCTCTTTAAAATAGGTGAGTGCTGTGTGTTTCCAGTCCGAGATTTTTGGGCAACTGCCCCAGCCCTCGGACCACAGCGCCGCCTGCGGGCCTCCTTTTGTACTATAGTTTCGGGTCTTGCAGGTTACCAGAGCCCACAACTCAAAAACTGCTTTGCCCCCAACACCCTCAAGATACTTAGGTCGGGCACCCATTCCCTCGAAGCCTCCTTACAAGCTTCCCTCAACAAAAGAATGCACACTTTAGTTGGTAATACGGTTCCTTTGCAACTGCAGCCTCTCCTTCAGCCTCCAGTGCCCCCACATCGACAAGTACTTAGGCTTGATTGGTTAGGGTCTGAGATTGTAGCTTTTACAGGACCACAACTCAGCAGGGATTTTCTACTCTCCCTAAAGCCCCCAAAGCATACAGTGCATCCCGAAGTAGTCCTACCTTTCACCTCAGACACCCAGACCACAACTCAACTAACAGAGCAGCCTCGAACACCCCTAAGGGGAAGAAGGTCAGGCCGTAGATCCTTTAGGGTTTCACATGAGCACCAAAAGTTTTTCTATAGGCGTAACCTCGGTAACCGATCCCGCGCCGCACAACGAATTAACCGAATTAGTCGAATTCATTGGAAAAACACCGAACCCCGCCTTCTCGAGGCGTGCCGGAGGCCCATTTTGGTGCCGACAAAGAGGGTCCCCCACAGGGGGGGGCAAAAAAGGTTCAGCCTAGGGGCTCCTACAAACGGAGAGAGCGTCGCGCTCTCTACCGGGCGTGGAGGAAGGCTTGTACCACAACGAGGAGAAAGCGGGTGGGCGCCGCCGATCCTTTTGCCCCCCCGCCCAAAAAAGCCGCTCTATCTAGAGCGAAATGGTTCAAGCAAACAATGCTTTGGCAGCACAACCATAAGCGCAAAAAGCAGAAACCCACCAACAGGCCAACCACAACTCCACTCCCATACCACACAAAACTCCACATTGCCACACAAAACGTCCAAGGTTTTGCGGACACCCTAAAACTCAAAGCGGCCATCCTTATGATGAAAAAGTACGAGGTTGACATCCTCTTCCTCACGGAGACCAAAACCACACAGTACTACACTTACACCTCAGAGCAGCATTTGGTCATTCTATCTGGCAACAACAAAGACCCGTATGCTGGCGTGGGCGCAATCATCGCACCACACATCAGACCATATATCGCTGACGTTGTTCAACATAGCTCCCGTATCATCCAGATTATGATCAAGAAAAGAGGCGGTAATTTACACGCGCTCGGATGTTACGCGCCACACTCCGGGTTGGATCTAGAAACCGTGCGCCAGCCCTTTTGGGAAAAACTTGAGGGAATCGTAGAAAAGATACCCGGACCACAACCCGTTTACATCACAGGTGACTTCAACGTGAGATTTCAAGCGCAACACCCTAGGGACGAAGGGGTCACGGGCCCATTTGTGTATGGCAAGGGAAAAACTTTCATCGACCACAACGCCAAATCTAATCGGTCCTTGTGCCTTAAGACCCTACAAGCCCTACATATGTGTGAAGTTTGTTCCTTCAAAACCCCCAACATGGAACAACAAATCACATACAAGGAAAAGAACCCACCGCCACAGGACTGGATGCAGTTCGTTGTGGATCCGCTCCCGCTACTACAGTTTTACAACACACTCTCGACCACAACGCCAGATTGTGACATGCTCGTTGCTTCTAACATTCGCAGTTTCCTAGGACTCCCAGACCTCCTTCCCCCACTTGCCTCGCTCCCCTCCGCTAATCCCACCCAGTTCCAGAAACTGGACCACACATTTACAAGAAAGCAGTGGCTCGCCTCAGTGCACTCATGTCGCTCCTTCACCGACACCGGATACCCTAGCGATCATTATCTTCTAGTCACCACCATTCAAGTCAGACTAGCGGCCCGACCCAAAAGACCCCCCAATACAATTAAGCTACACGTGGGCAATCCCGACGACTCCCAAAAGGAAGCCTTTAACACAGCACTTCAGGACCTTCTTTTCCCAGACCAGGTTCCCTTGCCTAGGACCCCAGATCACAACGCCAAAGTCAAGTACTTTACGGATGGCTCAGGTTCGCGCGGAAAGTGCACTAAACACACACTTGCGGGCTGGGGTTGGTGCTTCGCACGAGAAGGAAATTGGCAGGAAGCTTCTGGGCCGGTTCTCACAGACCACAACGCACCAGACTACATGGGCGCAGAGGTAGGCTCCAACAACACCGGAGAACTCACAGCCATTGCGGAAGCCCTACTACACGCAAAGGAGCATTCTCACCATCCGCACATCCACACGGACAGCCTTTGGTCCATCAATGTACTAACTGGCAAATGGAGACCACAACGCCATAAGCAGCTCGTAGGTTACATCAAGTCCATCCTTGCCTCATTCCAGACCAAGGTCAAATTTCAATGGGTTAAAGGCCACTCAGGACAAGAAGGCAACGAAAGAGCGGACAAGTTAGCGGAAAAAGGAAAAACCACAAGAACGCGCAACGGCGGCCGAACACTCCTGCCACCAATCAGACCACAACGCGTCACGCCGGACTCCCTTAACCCTGACCACTTTGTGACCGCACTGCACAACGCCGCCAGGACTGTCTTCCAGGCCAAGGCACGCAAAGCTCACACACCTTGGATCACAGACAGCACCCTGCAGGCGCTGGACGAAGCCACCGCAGCTAAAGCGCAAGAGCTTCCGCAGGCGAAACAACTGCGCAACAGGGCTAAGCGACAGGCGCGCAAGGACAAAGTCAACTGGGTACACCGCCAGCTCGAGGCGGACCCTGAAGCGATGACCAAAGGCGTTTGGAATACAATCCGCAACCACAAGAAGGGCTTTAGGGGTGTTAGGCGCCACTTGGTAGTCAATGGCAAGCCGGTACCATGGACCAAAACCCACGAAGCTATGCGGGACCACCTGCAAAACACACAATGGGCCCAACGACCGTTGGAAAGCCCCTCCGCGCCAAGACCACCAATACACCCGACCCACCCTGAGGACCACAACTTTACCATCGAAGAACTTCAAACGGCTCTCAAAAAGCTTCGGCGTGAAAAAGCCCCAGGCCCAGATGGTCTACAGAACGAAGTCATACTGCTTTTGGATGACTATGGTGAGTTACAACTTCTAGACATATTCAATGAGGCCTGGAATAGCGGCGAGATCCCGGAGTCTTGGCTACAAGCCAAGGTGGTCAGTATCTATAAAGGAAAGGGCGATGACTCCGACCCGGCCTCATATCGCCCAATCTCGCTCCTAAACGGTTTTTACAAAATCTACGCGTCAATGATACAAGCTCGCCTGTCTACCTATTGTGAGGAACGCATTCGTAAAACGCAATACGGATTCAGACCACAACGCGGCACAAAGCAGCCCCTTTTCCTCCTAAGACGCTTCATGGAGTGGAGCCGTATGACTGACCACAACTCACAGTTACTTTTCGTTGACTGGAAGCAGGCTTTTGACTCGGTAGACCATGGCAGGATGATGCAGGCTCTAAAGCGTTTCGGTATCTCAGCCAAGGCTGAGTCCGCTGTGGCGTCTCTATATTCCAAACCCATGTTCCTGGTTCAGGGTTTTGACTTGACCACAACGCAGGGCACCGTTGCCGCTGGGATTAGACAGGGATGCCCCCTCAGCCCGTATCTCTTTATCATTGTCCTTTCTGTTATTCTTCACGATATGGATCACACGCTACAACACCAAGGCACACCCCGCAACACATGGTCACAGGGCAGGCCAATATATGATGTAGAGTATGCAGATGATACTCTCTTGCTCGCATTGACCACAACGCAGATGCAAAAATTTCTCACAACGCTAGAAATTGGAGCCGCAGAGTACGGGATGTCGCTCAACTCTACCAAAACGGAATTGTTGGTTAAGGACCCCGAGGCCAAAAGTCTCCTGGCCTTCAGAGATGGATCCGAGGTCCCGACCACAACGCACATTAAATATCTAGGGAGTATGATCGCCTGGGAACAACCATTCGAAATCGCTTTTCGCCACAGAGCAGCGCTAGCGGAAGAAGCCTATAAAAAACTCAGGTTGGTTTGGAATAGCGGCCGCTCTAAAAAACACAAGCTATACATTTTCCGTACCACTTTCGTCCCTACCCTCTGCTACGGACTGGACGCGCTTACCTTAACAGACCAAAACCTCCATAAGATAGACGCCTGGTATCATAAATTCCTGCGGCGCGTAATAGGAATAAAGGCCACATATTATTCTCGAATCAGCAACTGGGATGTCTGGAACCAAGCCCACAGACCACAACTCCCTTCCTCCACCTTACAGACCCTACAAATAAAGACGCTTGCCAGCATTGTTTGCTCTTCCCCAGAAGACCCTCTGCATAACATTGTCTTCTGCCACCCCTTAAAGGATAGAATACAAGCTCAAGGCAGACGCAAAGGTATGCAGTTCCCATATTGGGTAGAAGTCACAACCCATAGACACTTTCCTGAAATCTGGGTAGGGGACCACATCGCTCGAAGATACGCCGCCAAGCAGATTTATGGGCAAAACGAACAGTATGTAATCCTTGGTAAGATCCTCAAAAACCTGCAAGACCCGGCAGAGCAGGCGCCAAAGCGCGCGTCGTACATGCGCGCATGGCGTTGACAAAAAAAGCCCTAAACCCTGAACCCTGAGCCCTACACCCTCAACGCTAAGCCCTAAAGCCAAACCTGAAACAAAGGACCTCGGAGCCCATTCTGGGCCCTTGCGATCTGCTTTGCGTGGAGCTGGCTTTCGCGAAGCACGGGAAGGCTCCGGCTTCTGGCGCCTAAGGGTTTTAGGGTGTAGGGTTTACGGGTTTAGTAGGGTTTAGTAGGGTTTAGTAGGGTTTAGTAGGGTTTAGGGTTTAGGGTTTAGGGCTTAAGGGTTTAGGGGTTTAGGGGTTTAGGGTTTTAGGGCTTTAGGGTTTTAGGGTTTTAGGGCTTTAGGGTTTTAGGGTTTAAGGTTTAGGGTTAAGGACCCTAAGGTTTAGGCTCCAGGCTTGAAGGATTTGGTGTAGGGCCTGGGGTTTAGGGCTTCGTCTGGGGTTTAGGGCTTCGTGTTTAGGGCAGAAGTGTGTCAAAAACCCGTCCATGCTTCCGTCCATCCATGCTTGCATGCATGCGTAACAACAAGTGGACACACAAAATGTAGAAGCAGCCGTAAGCATGCATACACATTGATAAGTCAGCATGCATGTAGGCATGTACTCTGCGATGGCGGAAATCTGTTTTGAGATGCGAGCCTCGGGTTGCGAATGCAATGGATCAGGGGAAGTCGGTTTCAGAGTTGGTGCTCCGTGTGGTGCAGACCTCTGATCAATCAATCCCTTTCCTTCGACAAGGATGACAACAGGGTCTTGATAGGAAGGTCCTTAAGGCAGGGGGTTGATTAACGAGGGTTCACCAGTGTTCTTTGTCAAGCTCTGCAAAGTCTTCCTTAATTCGTATCAGGAAACCCCCGCCTCTAAACCCCACACCCTAAACTTTTAAATGCTCTAAACCCTCTCCCTTTGTCATAGTTGGGTAACATGTTACATTTTTATGGGTACTTAAACCCAATAAGGAATACAAATTTATCTGGTTAATCCTATCCCAACCATGAACTAGTCTCAAAGTCTTTCAGCACTCCAATCCCAAAGCCCTAGAGCCCTACACCCTGAGCACCAAACCCGGAACCCTCCACACACAAAGCCCTGAACCCGTTACACCCTAGCCCTGGGTACCCTAAATAGAAGAGTCCGTATTATAGCAAGGACCCAAAAAGGGACCCCCATTTTGACAACTACATACATCCCAAAGCCAAGAAAGTGGAGACTGCGCCGACGCGCTCGCCTGCTTTGCTCAAAAGACACGTCACCCTCGGATGCTCATGGCAACCGCAAAAATCCAACCCTAAACAATAAACCCGAAACCGTTGGCAACTGTAAAAATCCAAGAAAGACTTTCGCACAGGTCTCGCCCGAGGAAGTTCCAGACTGGCCCCAGCGACTGCTGCATGCCCCCGCAGTCTTGGAGGACTCACGCCGTTGGGGTTTAGGGTTTAGGGTTTGGGGTTTAGGGTTTAGGATTTAGGATTTAGGGTTTAGGACTGAGGATGTAGGGTTTAGTGGTCTAGGGTTTAGGCTTTAGGGTCTAGGGTTTGGGCTTTCAAATTCTTCAGGAATGTCGTACCCTCAAGCCCGGCAAGAAAGGAATCTGCCTTAGATCTTTTCATATAGCAGCCTGAATACTGCTTGGTTCCTTCTTCGCACTATACCTTAGTAGCTGAGTGGATACACTTTACACTTTTTGGGATAGTATTACCCACTATAAAACGGAAAATGTACACTTTGTTGGGGCTTATGAACTCAGCAACTTAGATTCTGAATGACGCCCTCTGTGCTCCTTCTTGACACCTCTACGATGCTCTGGTTCCAAACCCTAGTCCAGGGCCCCAAAACCTAAGCCCTAAGCCCTACTTGGAGGGTCGGGGGACTTAGTAAGTAGGGAATAAGTCCTAGAAGGGATCCTAATTGGGGTTATGGTACTTATAAGTCTCCAAAATAAATAGTTACTAAATCCCCCGACTCTCCAAGTAACCCACCCCCACCCGACCTTAAACCCCGGTCTTCGGCTCCGTTTTAAGATCAGCCCGAAACTCCCCGGATCTGCGAAGCGAGTGCAAATCCCGTTCCTTTTTTGTAGCATCGTCTGCTAAGTTGAGGGTTTATGGCTTAGGGTGTAGCGGAATACATTCCATAACCTGTTAGAGCCTTGTTTATTTCACCACGAACTCCAAGGCAAAAGCCCCAGCGCAAGCCGCAAGGCCTACAGCCGTAAGCCCAAACCCTATATGAACCCCACCCTCAACCCTGAACTGTACAGCTGCAGGCCAGCAAGTCCTAAACATAAACCCCAAACCCTACATCCCGAAGTCGGATGCCTCAACCGTAAACCTAAACTTCAACCGTAACCCGGCACGCTAACCCTTTAACTCCCCAAGTCTTCAACTCAGACTTCACCTGTCCGCCTTCCAGTCAAAGCTACATCTTTGGATGTTAAAGCCAGGGCTGAGGGTTTGGGGGGGTTTCGGGATTTTATTTAGGGGTTTAGGATCTAGGCCTTCACGGTATTCAATGGATTTTAGGTTCAGGGCTCTGGATTTAAAGGCTATGTGGCTTGTCGGCCGCAGCCTACACATCACTCCAGGGAGAATATCCCCAGCTACCGCACCAACTTGTTTCTCATATGAGAGTTTCCGAAATTAGGAGACCCGAATAGGATACCCGAAAAAGGTAGGATCCTTATTATAAGGATCCCACAATAAGGTATGCCTAATTTTCGGAAACTCCTGTATAGTTTACATTGGCAAGATGTGTTCATAGGAGGCGAAAAGGGGTTTTAGCCTATGGGGGTTTAGTAGGGATTAGGGTTCCCATAATAGGTTAATAGGGTCCATATTGAGGAATCCCTACCCCAAGAATCGTAAACCCCCCCTTTTGGCCTCCCATCATGTATATGAGATGTAAAAGATCCTTCTCCTTTAAAGGAACCCTTATTGCACCCTTGTAGTATCCTTTAAAGGAGCCCTCGGGCATCCCTCATTTTCGGAAACTCCGACATGATCCTTCTCCGAGACTGATAAGCCCCCGACCTTCCACTCCGCTCAGGTCAACCCCCGGAACCCTAAACCCTAAACTACGGCTGATGATATAAATCCTGCATTACCTTAAGGACCCTAAACTATGGGAATAATGGCACATTCCGTATTATGGGTAATGCAGGATTTATATCATCAACAGTATTGCTATGAGTATTATTGATGATACTGTTGCTACTTGTTACAAGTATCATTGCTATGATTATCATTATTGTTATAATTACTATTTGTACTATTGTTAGTGTTATTACAATTATTACTTGGGTATGGCTCCCACTCAGTAATAGTTGAATAATATTCATAACATAGAGATATTAGGAGGCAGTTCCTATACCCTAAACCCTCAACCCTAAACCCTAAACCCTAAATCCTAAATCCTAGGGGGCAGTACGTAAATTATTACTATCAAAGCGTAAACCCCTAAATGGCTACAGGAGCGTTCAAGCTTGGCGCCCACACTCCCGACCATCCACCTGGCGATCGGCAGCGCGAGGCGAGAGTCGTTGCGGGAGAAAGGGTTCCCTTAGGGGTACTTAGAATTCATTTTTAATTTTGGGATATTATAATCTCTAAGAAACATCTAAAAACAAATTTTGCTAGGGTTCTAAGTTCAGTATAGTTCAGGGGTAGTGATAAGTCCCCTGATAGGGGTTATAAGGGGTTTAGGGTTCCTTTAAGGGTTCTGTAGGGTTTAGGGGGGAGGGCTACTTGGAGGTTCAAGGGTTATGAGGGGTTTAGGGGTCCTTAAGGGTTCTATAAAGGTTTAGGGTTTAGGGGTTAGGGTAGTTATAAGTGGGGCTATAAGTCCCGTAATAAGGGTTATGAGGGGTTTAGTGTTCCTTCAAGGGTTCTATAGGGTTCAGGGTTCTCATCTAAAACTACTCTCCCTACACTGCAAACCTAGTGTTTGTCTCATTGTTTAGCTTTTTGGGTGTATAGAGTTGTTTTTTCTCCTATGCTGATTCTCTTTGTGACGAGCCCTGAACCCTTACAGCCTTACTGCAACTACCAAAACTTTGGGCCCAAGACCTACAAAACTTAAACCCAAGGGCGCGAACACGGGGCAGCCTCGATGTCTTGACTCCCCGAGGCTGTTGTCTTTCTGGGCTCGGAGACGTGAACAAAGGTAGCACTCTTCAGAGATCCCCTCGCATGTAAAAAAGGATGATCCTTTCTTCAGTTCCCCTAAGCCCTGAACCCCAACAGCCTAAAGCCGTAAACCCTCCTGAAAGTTAAGGAAAAACAAAAGCATCCGAGGCCGAAGTATACACTATATGGATACATAAACCCTAAACCCTTATGATAACCTTGTAGAACCCTTAAAGGATCCCTTAAAGGAACCGGTCCGTGTGCTCCAGCCGAGCCCCTTCGCGGGCAGGCCCAGTTTACGTTCCAATGGTTCCTCTGTGGAATTCTGATGTACCACAAAACCCTATTCCAATTACTTGGCCCTGAAACCATAGTAACCCCTATGAAACTCGTCAGAGGACCCTATTCTAATCATTCTGGCCCATATGGATATGGATCACGAAATGCTTTATGGAACACTAACAGGTCCCCTACTTAAGGAACCCTGAAAGAAGCTCTATGCTAGTCATTAACAACCCTAACACCAACCTAAGCCCTAAATCCGAAACACTAAACCGTACACCCTTTTCCAGGTCGTGAAGGCCCCGGTTTCATGGAACCATGATCGTAATCTTACTAGAGCCCTCATAGTATTTTGTAACTGTCGTAGCAGCTTCTGAGGGACCCTCGTCACTACTCTAATCCGTTTCTTTCGGGGTCCCAAACTCTGAACCCCTAAACACTAAACCCTACCTTAACCCCAAGTAACCTATTAGGGAACCCTAAAACAGGCAGGTTCCTTAGGGTCCAGGTAAACCCTACTCTTATCCTAAAGGCCTTTTCACCCTAAGCTCCTAAGCCCTAAACCCTGGACCCTAAGCCCTAAACCCTGAACGCTAAGTCCTAAAGCCTAAACCCTCTTTTTTGCAGGCCCTGCCCTCTCCGCGTCTCCCTGGACCAACTGGGCGCCCTGACGAAGCACGGGCTCAGCTGCAGCCCAAGAACCCTTACCTTTGGTTAGTAGGGAATGGAAGCGGCCTTACAAAGGGGGTTCTATAAGGGTTACCATAAGGGATCTATAAGGGTACTATAATATAGGGGCCTTAGTAATCCTATAACTTACCTGTGGCTAGTAGGGAATGGAGGAATGGGGTACAATTATAACTACTATTACTACAGGGGTTTAGGGATTGGGGTTTGGGTTTAGGGTTTAGGGTTTAGGATTTAGGGTTTAGGGGCTTAGGGGCGAGCGAGGTTCGAGTTTCAGGGTTTGTGTGTTTAGAGCTCGGGGTTTGGGATTGGGGGCTTAGTATTCGGCTTTATAGTCAATGGTGTGGACTTTAGGTTTTCTCCGCTTTGGCTGCCGCGCGCGGACGACGCACAAGCGCGTTGGCGGAATTTCCTTCACGAGCTGCCCTTGTGCTTTCTTTGGGAGTGGGGTTCTCCTAACAGAGAACCCTAAACCCTAAACCCCAAAACCCTAACCCCCAAAACCGAAAGCCCCGCAAAGGTTTTTTTCAGGGGGAACTGGAAAGGGAGCCTCGGTTCCCATGTTTGTGCAGCGAGGCTTCGTCTCAAGCTTTCTGGCCACAGGGGGGGTTTCCGAAAATAGGGGACCCTAATATTTCGGAAACTCCCATATTCCTGGGATAGAAGACCGGATTGTACGTGCATACGGTTCTGTGACTCATCCGATGGTAGGCGTAGCAACTATATCTCTACACCAGCAAGACTCCCAAGTTGCGCCTCTGCTAGAAGTACAGCTGCACCTAGGGTATGAGCCTGAGACCGTCCATCCATCGACCCGACGGCCATATTAACGGTTTAGGGTTTAGGGTTTAGGGTTTGGGGAAGTTATGTCTAATTGTAAGCGTATCTTACCTCGGAAGCCCTGGGCCTTGTTTCTGAGGGGTCCGGGTTTAGAGGTTAGGGTTTCGGGCTAAAGGGCTGCACAGCAATGTATACTACTGTATGCTTCGACAGAAAGCCCTTGGAAAATGAGGGTTTCGTCAGACTCGCTTCCTGCGCAGACGAATCAAACACTCCTCAAACTGCGACCGGCAATTACTACCTTAAACACAGGACCTTATCAAGGAACCCGTGAGCGACCATTTTAGGACCGTTGTGGAACAATGTTAAGAGGCTGTAATTATAGTAGAACCCGTCTAGTAGTACCACCTGGAGTATGAAGGCACATTTCTTGCCCAACTTCTAGCATTTCGCATCGGACAGGTTTAGGACCCTTGCAGACCCATATAGAAACCTTATGGAACTCGTTACAAAAGGTCCTTAAAGAGCTCTTAAAGTTGACTTGTACAAGGACCCGTATACCCTGAACCCTACGTCCCTCATAGTAGAACCGTCATAGAACCCAAGAGACATGTTGTAGGAACCCTTAAAAGGAGCCCTTGCAGGACTCTAATGGAACCTTTATGGAACCCCAATAGATCCCTTGTAGGAACCCTTCAAGGGGCCCTTGCTTAGAGGATCATGGGACTTAGTAACTAGGGTTATAAATAAGGTAACTATACCTATAATTACTTATAACCCCAGTTAAGGTACTTATAACTGTACTTACTAAGTCCGATGAACCTCCAAGTAAACATCCATAAACCCTAAACCCTAAAACCCTAAACCCTAAAACTCTAAACCCTAAACCCTTCCAGGGGCCCTTGTAGGACCCGACATCGAAGTCACGCAGTGTCCGAGGTTGGGGCCGATGGTTCGCGCTGAAAGAGGCGCGAGAATCAAAGGGAACAAAAAAGGGACCCTTAATGGGGACTCCTACCCTATAATGGGTTATATAATGGGTATATAACGGCTATATTAAGGGTATATACCTGGGGGTCCTTATTAAGAGTCCTTCCTCTTACCCTTGGACAGAAAGCTTGTTTCTTACCTTTTGTTAGTAGGGAATGGAAGAATGGTAGTAGTAGTAGTTATAATTGTACCCCATTCCTCCATTCCCCACTAACCAAAGGTAAGTTATAGGATTGCTAAGGCCCCTATATTATAGTACCCTTATAGATCCCTTCTAGTAACCCTTATAGACCCCTTTATAAAGCCCCTTCCATTCCCTACTAACCAAAGGGAAGTTCAAGGATCGCGGAGTTCAGGGTTCTTAGGGCTTTTGGGGTTTTAGGGCTTCAGGGCTTTAGAGTTTTGGGGCTTTGGGGTTCTAGAGTTTACAGTTTAGGGTTCAGGGTTTAGGGTTAGAGTTTTAAAGGCTTGTGGCTTAGGGTTTGGGGCTTTAGGGGTTTCAGGGCTTTGGGATTAGGTGTTAAGGGTTTGGGTTTCAGAAGCAAAATGAGGGAGACTTGTTGAAGACAGTGCGAGGGCTTGTCGTTCGGATCATCCTTACAACCTTACCCAGCGACGCCAAACCCACTTCATTCAGGAACATGCATTACGCCATGTTGAGGACCCCCGAAGCTCTTTCAAGGGGTATTCAATATTCCTTACTTCAGGAGTCCGAGGAGTCTACTATTTGCTTAAGAACCACCAAAAAATTAAAAAAAATATTCCTTATGGTGGTAATATAGGGATTATTATTTTTATTTTTTGGGGGTTTCTTAAGCAAATAGTAGGAGTAGGTAGCGAGGTTACTGAGCCTCCAAGCCAGTTTCCTCAACTTCGCAGCTTTCGAACTTGTGAGGCGCCATGCCCGAAAGTTTAAATGCTCAAAGGGGTAAAGGAGGGACCCTTAATGGGGACCCCTACCCTGTAATGGGCTATGTAATAGCTATATTAAGGGTATATACCTACACTTTCCTTCTCAAGGGTCCCTCCTTTTACCCTTGGACGGAAATGCCATCCTAAACTCGAGGCCGTAAACCTGATTATAAGCCCTAAGCCCGAAAACCTTAAACCCTAAACCCTAAACCCTAAAACCTTAAATCGGAAACCCTAAAACCCTAACCCCTTAACCGAACTCCTGGAGCCGAGAACTTCTCGAAACTCGAATCCAAGGGCAAAAGGAGGGACCCTTAATAAGGACCCCCAGGGGGGTTTAGGGGTTTAGGGGTTTAGGGTTTCTAGGGTTTAGGGGTTTAGGATTTAGGGGTTTAGGGTTTAGGGTTTAAGGACCCCTAGGTCTATACCCTTAATATAGCTATTATTTAGCCCATTATAGGGTAGGGGTCCCTCCTATTCCCCTTTGATCGAAGCCCGTCACTTGAAGCCCCTAGCTTCAAGCCCCCAATCGCGGCTACCTGCCCAAACGATGCGGATTCCAGTGCCGGTTTGGGGTTTAGGGAACTCGGGCTCTATAGGGTTTTAGGATTTGGGGTGTAGGATTCAGGGGTTCAGGGTTGAAGGTTTTAAGGTTTAGGCTTTAGGGTTTCTAGACTTTGGGGTGCAGGGTGTTATGCGGAATGTTGTACAAATTCTCATAGCAGCCTTGTTGGGATCTTGACGGATCTTGATCTCAGCCTTCAACAGCAGCTCCACTCCGATGGCAGGCGCTGCTGGTTGATCTTGATGAGGAGGCAGACTTCGAGGGGGGGGGGGGGGGGTTGGGGGGGGGGGGGGTTCAGGGTTTTGGGTTTAGGGTTTAGGGTTAAGGTTTTGGGTTTAGGATTTCGATGTCGGGCACTTAACCTCAAAGCAACCAGCCCACAAGCCAAAGCAATCACTCGTGTCCAAATCCACGCAGCACAGGGCCTGCGCGATTCATGCTCCTCTTCCTGGGTTTCCTTCATTCGTATATACACACATGCAGACATATATTTATGGACATAGGTATACATATACATATACATATACATAAACATATACATATACATATACATATACATCTACATATACATATACATATACATAGACATACACATACACATACACATACACATATACATATACATATACATATACATATACATATACATATGCATATGCATATACATACATACATATATATATATATATATATATATATATATTCTAGGACCCAAACCGGAAACCCTAAGCAGTTCCCTAAACCTCACCCTCAATAAACCCTAGAAAGCTAAATCCGAAAGCAATTCCTAGCACCCTCAACCCCATCCGCGCTTGCTTCGGCACCCTACTTCAGACCAATCCCGAGGATTGCAGGCCCTTCTTTAGGCGCCTGTGTCATGAGCATCCCCTTGTATGCCTTCCTTTTCATGGCCCGTCTTGTGAATTCGTCGAGTCGACCTCTGCGGCCCGCCTGCCGCTCTTTGAATCCAACAGTGAAGTGCGAAGACGACTCATCAGGTTTCGGGGTTAAAGCATTATGGTTGAGGCTTTAGGTTGCATGATTTAGGGTTTGGGGCGTCGGGCCGTAGTGCCCCGAAATTCGCTCAAGGCTGAGCAAGATTTGTGGTAGTGTGTGTGTGAGAGAGAGAGAGAGAGAGAGAGAGAGAGAGAGAGAGAGAGTGTGTGTGTGTGTGTGTTTGTATGTGTACCGCTTGAAGTAAGTTCCAAAAAAGCGCGTTCTTTGGCCTTTCGGGATGTGCTTCATCCCTAAGAAGCACACGTCCTCAGCATTCTTTACTATGATGTCGGTGCGCAGTACCCATAGAGAGGTAGATTTTCTGCCGGTTAAAGTAAGGTTTAGTTTTGTTCCATTGCGCTTTCGCAGGCATACCTGTAAGAAGCATCTGGCGATGTGAAGCCTGTTCAGCCGAACATCCCGGTTGTAAACTCAAAACCCACCGTAAACCCCAACCCCTAAACCCTAAATCCCAACCCTCAAAACCAAAACTCCTGAACCACATGCGAACGCTGCAAGAACACAATCTCAAAACACGCCCGAGCCCCTGCGTTTACCATTTTACCGAGCTTAGTAGCTGAGTGGATACACTTTACTCTTTTTGGGGTAATATACCCCACTATAACATTCTTTTTGGGGGCTTATCTTACCTTTGGTTAGTAGGGAATGGAGGAATGGGGTACAAGTATGACTACTATTACTACCATTCTTCCATTCCCTACTAACCAAAGGTAAGTTATGAACTCAGCAACTAAGAGAAAGTCTTCGGAGGTGATCCCGCTGGCCTGGTCTGAAGCAGGCGAAGCGCCGGGGGTTTACTAGGTCTTAAGTTGAAGTTCAGGGGTTTAGGATTCGGGATTTAGACCCCAAACCCTCAACCCTAAACGAGGTTTAGGGGTTTAGGGTTTGGGTGATCCAAGGCCCACCTGGACCCGATAAGGACTACCTTTTTAAGGGTTGCTCAATGTGATTTCCTTGTAGAAGTCCCGAAAACGGTAGGTTTCTTGCGTCCAGGTAGGGCTTGGGACTGGAGCCTTCGCAGTGTACCAGTTGCAGGTTAACGCAGCATGAGCAGAGGATTAAGCGTTGTAGCGTGTTCGGTTTAGGGTTGAGGGGTATAGGCCTCGTGGGTTTAGATTGCAAGGATTTCGAAGTTGATTTAGGTTGAGGGTTTAATGTAAGGCCCAGGGATCTGGGATTTAGGATGATAAGGCTGGCACGAAACCTCGCAGTTCGAGGCATCAGGGATTTAGTGTGGTTCGTCATGATTCAGGCACTGAAAGCCTATAGGCGTTTAGGTTTTAGGGTTTAGGGTTTAGCTTTTATCCTGTAGTGCTTGACCTGAAGTTCATGAGTAGCTGCACTTTGCGAAATTGAATCATATCCCTGCTTGAACTACTCGGATTCTCGCCGCACTGTATAGCTAAGCCCTGAGCCCTAAACCCTAAGACCTAAACCCTAAACCTAAGCCCTAATACCTAGCACACCCCTAAAGCCTAAACTAGCTGCCCGAAATCCCAATCAACACCATGGCCCAAAAAGCCCCAAAACAGCAAAGCCAAACGACCCAAACTATCCAACCCCACTGGAACCCGGAACCCTAACCCACCCCGCACAAACCAGAAACCCTGAACCCTAAACCCATGCAAACCCAATATGGGGTTGGAGCATGATTGTGCCATGTCAGTTTTCTTGCTCGAGTGTGCGTTTCTTGTAGCACCCTACTTGAGCAATGGCTGATTCAGGCGCTAATCCTGCTACTCCGCCTCAGGACACCAACACAGGGTCCAGTACGCCACCTGCTGCTGTTAAGGCTCCACCGAAGGGTGGTCCCAAAGGCAGAGGAAAAGGTGCCGGGAGGTTCTCCAATCTTGGAGTTACACTTCCTGGTGCTAAGGCGGAGGCTAAGCCTCAGGCGGTTCCTGCCAACCCCAAGCGGCAACGGATGAACGACAAAGATAAGACAACAAAGCCTTTCAGCCTGGTGGATTTTGAGGCCGGTGTCCAACTGCAAGAGCCAGTGGGTCGGCCCATCATCTTTACCAGTCAGGCTGGCAACTTCGGACCGATGAGCGAGGGGTTCATGAAAGTCAGATCCTCCTGCGCCAAGCCGGAGACTGCTTACATGGTTCCCTTCCTCCAGACCGTCATGGACGCATCTGCTTATGCAATCAGGCGTGCATTCTTCTTGAAAGATGAGAATCTTGTTCCGATCAGGGTTGAGTTTCCTCAGCCGGTTTAATGCTAAGATGACGACAACCACGAAATGGGCAAAATCAAGGTCCCTTTCTGGGCATCCTGAATAATAGGTGGCATATTGCATAAAGGACCCAAAAAGGGACCATAATTTTGACAACCACCCACATCTGGAATGTCGAGCTGGTGCAAGTGCCAACAAGCGTGATGATGGTACCTGGTACCGGCAACAATAAGGACAATGATGAACAGTACCGACATAAGTAAGTAATCACCTTGGTGATGGTGGAGGCGGGCAATTCAGTGACGATGATCATGATTTTTCTAATTCCCTCAACATCCCTACAGGCAACGCTATATGGGCTATTCCTCAACTTCACCAAAACAGAGTATCTTAGGACACCCATTCCGACTACTCCGCCCTCTTTTATAGATAGCACGCCTACCCCAATCAACGATAAAATCAAATACTTAGGCTCTATGGTGGCTTGGTCAAATCCCACCCTCGAAGCAATCAACCATAGGATCTCCCAGGCCCATATAGCCTACTGCAAATTATCAGCCTTTTGGAAGACTTCGGTGCCCCAAAAAACCAGGTTGATCATATTCAGATCCTACGTCGTCTCAGTACTCCTCTATGGCCTATGCACCCTCACATTGGAAGAAAAACATCTCAAGAAGATCGACGGATGGTACTTCCAGTTCCTCAGGAGAGTGGTAGGCATAAAAGCATCATATTACTCCAGAATCACCAACAAAGCAGTTTGGCTAAAAGCGGAACAGCCCATTCTCCCATCCCAACTAATACTACAGGAGCAGCTACAACAGCTCACTACCAGCCTGGCTACTCCTCACAATGACCCTATTCACCACGTAATCTTCTCCCCAGGTTACAAAGATAGAGTAGGCATTCAAAAGAACAGCAAACGTGGTCCTCCCCCCCGCACTGGCTAGGATTAGTATCGGATAAAGCTTTGGAGTTCTTCCAACAGGACGTCAAAACACAGCCCGGCTACTCCTCCCAGTTAAGAGTAGACTTCTTGGGTCTGAAGCAGTACCTTCAGAAACACCCCAGCTACTCCGCTCGCTTGGCGGCAGCGCCTACGCGCTTTGCACGACGATTTTCCTTCTACCATAACAGCATTGGTGGCGCATGGCGGTCGTAAAAAACCCATGCAAAATACAAGACTAGGATGCCCAGTAGTACGCCTATTCCCTTTGTGTAGTCCTAGGTTCCCTGCAAAGTTACACAATACCAAAAAGGGAGCCCTTTTTATTCCTAGGTTACCGGGCATCCTAGTATATTATGGTACCCGTATAGATCCCTTATGGTACCCTTTAAAGGACCCCTTTAAAGGAACCCTAGTAGTTATTCTCTTCACCAACTCAGCCAGCAGAGATCCTCGAACCGGTTTAGGCGCGGCGCGCTACCGCCAAAGCTGGCTCTCGAGCCTCCCCCGCCGTCTGAATGCCGAGGAGGCGATGGCGGGGGCGTGTGGGGTGTAGGGCTTTAGGGTTTGTTTAGGTTTAGGCCATGTTTTGGGGTTTAATTAGGGGTGTGGAGTTTAGGGTTTCCTGCGGTTGGTCTGATGGTTCCCGGTAAGGCCTCATAGGGGCGGAACAGGGTCTTCTTTGACGAGGTAGTTATTCAGGCTGCAGACAGAGGCTTGCAGAGGGAAGCTAGAGTTCAGGTTGCCTGGGTGTAGGGTGAAATATACCTGAAGTCAGGAACACAGTTCAAAAGACATGCTAAGGATATGCTTGGTTATGCTTGGTAGGCTTTAGGGTTGAGGAGATCTGGGTAAACTAGACCGCCAGCTGCAGGTACGGATTCGGAAGCACCGAAGAGCTTCCATGCCGCACATCCCGAACCCTGAAGCCTTTATACTGTAGGGCTGAGGACAGCGCTCCCTGAAAAAGGGCCTTAAAGCCGCAAACCCTATACCGCTGCGCCTTGAACCCTCAATCCCAAATCCTAAGCCTTAAAGCCCTGAGCACTACGACATCTGGCTTTAAACTTACCTCAAAACCAAAGCACTCATTACACCATCCACGCTATCCCGAAGTTTCTTTAAGAACTCACTGATAGAACTGCAAAAAGCCGTCACAGAGTCTTCGTCTAAACCCAGCAGAGCCCTTGTTGAACCTTGCGAAGAGCCTTTGTAAACAACAGTATGCACCCGCAGCCCTAACATCCCGACGCTAAACCCCCAAACCCTCAACCCGGACAGCTAAACGCTCAACCACAAAGCCTAAAAGCTATAAGCCCTAAACTCCAAAAGCAGGATAGTTTTTAGCCCCAAACCCCAAGCCCAGAACCCCAAAAGCCCCATACTGTAAAAGGCAAGCCCAAAAGCTCCAAACTCGCAACCCTCAGCCCTAAATCCTCAACCCTAAACCCCAAACCCCAAGAGCCCTAAACACCCCGAGACCTCAGTGGAGAGCACAGAGCCCGTAAAATAATTTACTAGTGCTATTTTGGGGGTTCCTGATAAATTATAGTATAACGGGCCCCTAAACCCTGCAATCATTAAGGCACCTATCTTAGAACCCTAGAACCCCACTATAGATCCCTTATAGAGCCCTTTAAGGACCCTTTTAAATAGTAACCCCTACTCTAATCATTAAGGCTTCTCTCCCCCCCAAACCCTAAACCCCTAAACCCCTAAACCCTAAACCCTAAACCCTAAACCCTAAACCCTTATATCGCAGCGAGGCGAAGCGCCAGCCAGAGACGGCCGCGGAGGGAAGCCGGAGCCGCAGCGACGAGGCGGAGGACGGCAGAAGAAGGGTTCCTTTAAGGGGTCCTTTAAGGGCTCATTGAGGGGCTTAGGGTTGTAAGTATATATACATGTGCATATATATATATGTATATATATATATATATATACACATACATACATACATACATACATACATACACATGCTCGACGTTACGAGAGAGACAGCGAGAGAGAGAGAGAGAGAGGGACAGACCGATAGACGAACAGCTTGACCAGACGTGGGTTATGCAAGAAAGACTTGTTGGCCGAAAGCTTGTATACATGGTTCCCATAGATTCCTCAAATCAGATTGCGGATCCATCTATGATGCAAGGTCTATTCTTTGATTAACGGGTTCAGGTCATCTAACACTTCCAACTTCAATCGAACTCAATCTCCGACAGAGCTTTTGAACGTGCCGGTAGGACCACGTAATCCGGAAGCCTGAATCAGGAGACATAGAAGTCTGCTGGATTCCTCACTAGAACTGTAGTATACCAAGAGACTAAGAGGGTCCATGTAGGCTACCATTATGGAATTAGGCCACAAAAGACCATCCTAAAACTGCTTGTGGGGACCTAACTGATTCCGTCATGGGAGTGTACATGGACCCTCTGGGATAATATACCCCAGAACTCTATTCAACATATGGGTGGTTGTCGAAATTATGGTCCCCTTGTTGTGCCCTTAATATAATACGGCACCTAGAACTTGGGGTACGCAAAAAGGGGCCCTAATTTTGACAACTACCCATATGAAGGCCGCTGCATTCGGAGAGGGAAAGCCGGAGCCCTCAATTCTTAGGATCCTCCCGGGGCTCAGGTATTTGGCGTTTAGGGCTTACGGTTTAGGGTTTAGGGTCTAGGGTTTCAGTTTAGGGTTTGGGTTTAGGGTTTAGGGTTAGGGTTTAGGGTTTAGGGCTTACGGTTTAGGGTTTAGGGTTTCAGTTTAGGGTTTGGGTTTAGGGTTTAGGGTTAGGGTTTAGGGTTTAGGGCTTACGGTTTAGGGTTTAGGGTCTAGGGTTTCAGTTTAGGGTTTGGGTTTAGGGTTTAGGGTTAGGGTTTAGGGTTTAGGGCTTACGGTTTAGGGTTTAGGGTCTAGGGTTTCAGTTTAGGGTTTGGGTTTAGGGTTTAGGGTTAGGGTTTAGGGTTTAGGGCTTACGGTTTAGGGTTTAGGGTCTAGGGTTTCAGTTTATGGTTTGGGTTTAGGGTTTAGGGTTAGGGTTTAGGGTTTAGGGCTTACGGTTTAGGGTTTAGGGTCTAGGGTTTCAGTTTAGGGTTTGGGTTTAGGGTTTAGGGTTAGGGTTTAGGGTTTAGGGCTTACGGTTTAGGGTTTAGGGTCTAGGGTTTCAGTTTAGGGTTTGGGTTTAGGGTGTAGGGTTTAGGGTTTGGGCTTAGGGTTTAGGGTTTAGGGTTTGGGGGTTAAACTGAGTAGGTTTTAGGGGTGAAAGCGCTCGAACAAAAATCTCTAAGAGCACCGCCCGCACCAAGACTTTGCTCTGTTTTGGTTTACGGCTGGATCAGCTCAGATTGCAGGGTTTTGGGGTTTAGGGTTTAGGTTTTAGGGGTTGGGGTTGGGGATGTTTAGGGATGTTTGGCGGTTAGGGTTCATCGATCCTTGAGAAAAAGCCACTTTAGCGCAAAGCGAGCAGCATTGCCAGGAGGAAAGCATGCTGCTGTGCGAGGATCCGAAATTGGCTCCCTGGCGCTACCTGCGGTTGGGGAGATTACACCTTCACTTCGAGGTACATGGTGGATCCGTTTGTAGTTGAGCCTCAACATAAAGCCCAAACCCCAATCATACCCTAAACCCTAAACCCGGAAGATAGACCGAGAAGTCCTAAACCCAAAACCCGGAACCCTAAACCCCAAACCCCACACCCGAAGCCTCAAATCCTCAACCCTAACCCATATCGAACCGTTATTAAGCCCCGTATGGGAATGGTACCCTCGTGAGCCTTCTTCGGATCCTTTTTCTTACCTTTGGTTAGGTCGGAATGAAGGAATGGGGTACAATTACAAAATACTACTACTACTACTACTACTACTACTACTACTACTACTACTACTACTACTACTACTACTACTACGACTGCTGCTACTACTACTACTACTACTGCTACTGCTACTGCTACTACTACTACTACTACTACTACTACTACTACTACTACTACTGCTACTGCTACTACCATTCTTCCATTCCCTACTAACCAAAGGTAGGTTTTTTTAACCCAAGAGGATTCCTCAAACCCCTGGCCCAGGCAGAGTTTGAGTCAGCGGGACTTCTTGGTGAAATCCTCCGGGAGCGGCGCATCGCGCTGCTGCAGAGCAGCGTCGCTTGTCTTTTTTCGTTTTTGTTTAACACACTTTCTTTGAGGGATTCGCGGATAGTTGGCTGCTTCAAGGTTTGAGGTTTCGGGTTTTAAGATATTTTGGACTCTGGGTTGCACACGTGTTTGTATATTTCCTTCGGGTCTAGGATATGCTGAGTTTTTGGGAGCGCGATTGCTTAAGCTGCGGCATAGGGTTAAGGGCTGTGGGCGTGGCATTTAATGGCTTTAGGGCCCAATTCGAGTCGAGCCTGACAGTCCAAAGCCTGAAGAAGGAAACTCTGAACCCGGAACACCAAACACTAAATCGGATTTAGGATATCCGATGTTTGGCAGGGCCGGAAGTTCTGTGTCAAGGATCCAAACCCTAAATACCACGGAGCAGCCTCCACGGTCACGATGGCACGACAGCAGTCTAAGCAAACACAGCTAAGAATGTCAGACGTGATAGATGCATGATATCGCCATGTTTGGGAGTCAGGATTAGGGGAACCCTCGGGGATATAGACCCTCTCAATAAGGTCCCTTTTAAGCGAGCCAGAAGTAGGGTTCGGAAGGGGTACCCTTTAAGGGGTTCCCCTCATCATGCTACCCAATGTTGATCTTGGTCAGGATCATCACCGGCCACTTTCTCCCGGATAATGTGAAAGCCAGAACCCGCAACTTGAGCAGGGGTCCACGGTCAACACCTCAAAGCCAGAAGCCCACCAGAACCGTCAGCGGCAAATGCCTATGTCTTCAAAAATGCCTGATCACAAATCCCCAGGCCCAGAGAGCCCGATAAATCATAATTATGGAACATGACTTGATATCTTCAATTATCGCCTCAGCCCTGAATCCCCGAAGTCGTGAAATCCCAAGTCCCAAAGCAACCGCGCGGCCGAAATCGCGGTTCTGCTGAGGCGGATGTGGACGAGAGCTGCGCCCTGAGATTGTCTCAGACCGTTCTATCAGCAGCCTGCGTTTCAATATAATTATAGGGGCCTAAATAACTACCTATGCTATTTTGGAGGTTCCTTATCATAAGTACAGTGTATTGGGCCCCAGAGGCCTTTTTTGATTATTAAGGCCCCTGTATTATCAGACTCTTGAGAGGGGAACAAAGCTCATAATTTTCGGAGTTTCTGCAACTGAGACCTTGAGTGTGAACCCCCAAAGTGCGGTGCTTCCGGATTGGAACAGCGCGAAATCTGCGAACCTTAAACCGCAAGCACTGAAGCCAACAGCCCTAAACCCTAAACCCTAAACCCTAAACCCTAAACCCTAAACCCTAAACCCTAAACCTTAAACCCTAAACCCTAAACCCTAAACCCTAAACCCTAACACCCTCAGCCCTGAAACCCGAAACCCTAAACCACCAACAGAAACTGTAAACACCGATCCCTGCAAACCCTCAACTTTAAAACTGGAACCCTCAGTCTCAAAACGCAAAGTCCTTAAACCTGAAGACGTATGTAATGTTGCTTAGGGCTCCAATATAAAAACCAAAGTAGTTAGTAGTACCACCGCTAATCCACAAGGGTTCACTGCTATACTCACACTCTGGGTAATTTCCAACACTATTCCTTCGGCTTCCCGTCTTATATTGCATATACTTACACGACAAATGCACACAAAAACCCTTTTTTGAATCATTGAGGCCCCTTTGGATCAGGGCCAGGTCTGGGATAAGGGCTTTCGGGTTTAATGGCTTAGGTCTTGAGGGCTTAGGGCTTAGGTTGCAAGAGCCAGCGTAGGGTTTGGGGTTTGGGTTTAGGTTTCAGGGGGATGGGGTTTTAGGGTTTAGGTTTAAGGTGTAGCGTTTAGGTTTCGTGCAAGCAGTACATGGTGTTAACCATGGAAGGAGGAAAGCACACCGGCGATGATCTTCTCAGCGCTCCTGGGTGCAGTGGCCATGAGCAGGTTCGGCAAGATTCAAGATCTTGGGCCAGACAACCTAGGGGTAAGAATGGTGCGGGGCCAACAGGTCGGGCAGCTGGTCTTCATTGACGGTGGCTCATGGACCGTCCCGACCATTTTTCAGTTCCCTGAGTCAGGGACGGTGGAAGTGGGTTCGGCGTGTGCTACTGTCGCAGTACGATGTGCTCAAGGACTTGACCCCTGAGCACTACGCATCGCCATCCACTCTCTTCGAGGGCTTCTGCAAGCCCAGCCCAAAGGCGGTTTAGGGCTGGGCAGGGTCCTGGATGGTCGGCGGTGTATCTCCCAATCGCTCCTGTCACTCCACACGAGAAAGTCGTCCAGCGCGCGGACAGCATCAACGTCTATGCGTGGGCAAAGGGGGGTCAATTATGCCAAGACATAGGAAACGCTATCCGAAAACCCTGATCTCCGGAACACCCCTGAACCCTACATCCCTAAACCTTAATCATCATCCCTGCTTGAGGGGGTCAAGGGGGTGAGCCCTAAACCCCAATGGGGGCGGGACAACATGCTGCCGCAAGCGTGCGATAAGTGGGTGCACCCCCCATTCCTTAAGAAGCGCACCCACCGCGCGAAGCACTGTGTGCACACCCTGAACCCAAAACCCTCAGCCACCCTAAACTCTATTCCTTACCTAGACCCTAAGGAACCTACCTTTTTAGGGTTCCCCAATATGATTTCTTTACATAAGTCCTGAAAAAGGTAGGTTATTTGGGGTTCAGGTAAACCCTTAAGCTCAAACCGGGCCGAGGCGCGCTGATGCGCCTCCAAGTCAGGCCCATGACGCAGTGTAGCCTGGCCCGCAGCTGCAAACCTCGGTGTTTTGTTGGTGTTTTCCGGGATTTTGGGATGTTTTTCGGGGTTCAGGCTTCCCGGCAAGGGTTCCCCAAAGCGTTCTGTAATTGGGGTTTCAGGGCTTCTGTCAGGGTCTTACTGTAAGGCTTCATGTTTTGAGGGGTTAGGGCTGAGGTGTTTAGGGCTTGTTTACGCTTTAGGGTTTAACCTTAACCCCCAAACATATAGTTTATGCTGCAATTAAAGTCGGGACTGCAAGGTAACTACTATCAGTGATCATTCCGACCCCCATACTAGTTTTCCATTTTCCTGTCAAAGCCCGACAGATCTCAGGGTGGAGCCTGAGTAACATAGACCTGAAGGCGCTGCAAAACAAATCGATAAACTGCACGGCTGCACCCTGGATTTCTGAAGCCGCCCTATCATGGGGTGGATTCCTAAACCCCAAACCAGAAAACCCCTAAACGCTATATCCCCAAAACCTTAAACCCTAAACTCTACGTCCCTAAGGCCCGAAGGCTTAAACCCCTAACTCCCTAGCCTCGATTCTACAGGCGCCGGCAGGCCTGAACTCCTAAATCCTGCTAAACTTTCCTCCGAAGCATTGAACCACAAAGCCCAAAACCCCAATCTGTTGAGGCTTGAGTGGATGCGTGGCAAGGGTTCGGGGACTAGGGGAGTTGCGTTTTTTCTATTTGTGAGACAAAAGGGGTTTGAGGGTTACGATGTAGGGTTTGGGAGCCCGACACGACCCCAAAGTAATCCGCCAAGTGATGACCCTCGACCCTAAACAACGATAATGGCCTCGCTACTGAAGATTCGTGTAAAGCAGCTTCAAAGCCCTAAGCCCTAAACCCTAAGCCTCTTTTGGAGTGCATGCTCTAACTTGAGCAGGCTCGAACTCTGCGGAAAAGGGGCTATTGCACTTCAAAAAAAACCCAAAGCCCAATGCCCGAGGTTCTTGCTCTGCGGGAGCACAACCCTTCGACACGGTTTTCCAAGATCCCACGGACCGGGAGCCCAGGGCTGGATACGCAAATGGCAGAAGGTACCACTACATTTAGGGTTTAGGGTTTGTGGTTTGAGGTTTTAGGGTTTAGGGTTCAGGGTTTGAAGTTGTAGGGTTTAGGGGTTCAGGGCTTTGGGTTTAAAGGTTCAGGGTTTAAAGATCAGAACTAGGCGTTCGGGGGTTAGGGTTTACGGTGCCGGTCTACAGGCTGAGACAGCTTTCAGCTCAAAGCCGACGCCATAGAACCCTATTGCCGAAAAAGTTCGAAACCAGTCGAAGCCAGCAAGCCCCATGAACCTTAGCGGCAGAATCCCCTAAGATGGGAACCTGATCAAGAAACCCTGAATCTTCGCCGGTCTTTCTATGTGAATCTGCAGAATCCCAACATTTTGCGCTTATAGAGCCAGGGTCTGTCAGGTTCCTACACCCCAAAGGGGAAAAGGAGGGACCCTTAATGGCGACCCCTACCCTATAATGGGCTATATAGGGGGGTATATAATGGCTATATTAACGGTATATACCTAGGGGTCCTTATTAAGGGTCCCTCCTTTTGCCTTTGGATACATTAGTAGAAGGACCTTGATAACTACCTATACTATTTTGGGGTTCCTCGTCAGATTTATTTTGTAATATCCCCCAAACCCTATTCTGATTATTAAGGCCTCTATACTACACCCAAGCCGGCGATCCCCTACCAAGAGCCTTTCCAACACCCCAGACCCCCGGGAGGATCCGAACAGTAGATTCCTTAATGGGGGTTCTTGTAAAGTACCCTGAGTAGTATAGGGCCCCAAATTAGGGGATCTACTTTCTAGATCTTAAACCTCCCTAAGCCCCTAAACCCTAAAGCCTTTAAGGGATCTACTTTCTAGATCCTCTCGCAGGTCTGGGACCAGAGGTTCCGACCTGTTAAGCTAAGGCCCGAGCCCACCAAGACTTCAGCCCTTAACGGAAGAGCCCTCAACTTACCTTTGGGTAGGGAATGGAGGCATGGGGTACCATTATAACCACTATTTCTAACATTCTTCCATTCCCTACTAACCAAAGGTAAGTCAAAGGAGCCGTTAAAGGAGCCCTCAACGGAGCCCTTAAGGGGACCTCTGGTAACCCAACTGGTTGAAGGGGCCTTGTAAGAAGCGAAAGAAGTGCTATCAAACACCTCCTTGGGCAGGGATTATCGTGCAGCATCTCTTTGAACCCCGCTAAAAGACATACTTTGAAGCGAAAAGATTGAAGGACGACAGTAAAAAGATAACATAAGGAGCCAAAAAAAGGGTTGGGAGTTTCGGCCGTAGGGTCGATGCCGCCATCTTGGGTTTCTAGCTGAAGGTTCAAGGGTTTTGGGGTTTCGGGGCTTACGGTTTAGGGTTCTTGGGGTTCCGGGTTGAACGGCTTGAGGGTTCGCATAGGGTTACAGGGTTTCGGGTTTGGCTGAAGGTTTAGGGTTCAAGGTAAATAGTGCGGGTAGCGAAACACGAGATCCCTGATCGGATCCCTTCAAGAGCTAGCACCCTGAACCTCAAAGCCTAAACCCAAAACCCTAAACCCTAAACCTCAAAGCCTAAACCCAAAACCTCAAAGCCTAAACCCAAAACCTCAAAGCCTAAACCCAAAACCCTAAACCCTAAACCTCAAAGCCTAAACCCTAAACCCTAAACCTCAAAGCCTAAACCCCATGCCGTGGATCCCTTAGAGAGCTTGCGGCTCGCTCCGAGGCCCGCCACGCCTTCCTCTTGACCGTCCACCTGGCCTCCAGTGCCCTGGACAGCATCTGCACCTAAAGGACGACATGAATCCTAAAAGGGTTTAAGGTTCATATACCATATAGGAATTCATGGTCTATGGGTGTAGGGCCCCTACTTCAGGAAGGAATTGTGTTTCAGATTGAGCCTGGGGACTTCAGCCGTCAAAGCAAATCTGCTTTTGAATATGAGTAGTTCTCTAGTTCAGGATCTTAGATCACCGAAGCATTACGGCACCCCGTGTCAAACCTAGAAAGGACCTTGATCTTTTCAGACGTAGCCATCTGAAGGAATTGGGTGTCGCGTCGTAGGGTTCAGGGTTTGGGGTTTTAGGGTTTCGGGTTGGAGGGCCAGACCTTTAGGTTTGGGAAACCCTCAACCTTGGCCGCCAACCGTAGGATTAGGGTTTTGATTTTGGGATTTGGGTTTAGTGTTTGAGGCGGGTTGCAGGGTGTTGGGTTTTAGGGGTTTGGGGACGTCGGTTTGGACCATAGTTCGGACGCAGTGTCCAAGCGGCGTCCTTGCTGCAACCGGGGTCCACGGGCAGAGCGTAGTATAGACGTCGCAACGACTAGTAATATCATTCCGATGGGTTCCTTACTCAACAAATACCATAACCTACCCCGAAACTGACATGATAGAGACCCTTATAGAACCCTTTCAAGAAACCCCCTCTGCACTCGGATTTTTGGGGTGGCTGGGCTTTGGTGTGCAGAGCTAAGGCTGGGTGCTTCTGGTGTTTTTGGGTTAAAGGGGCTTAGTTGTTCAGGCTTTAGGGGTCTAGGGATTGGAGGAGTTTTCGGGTATATGGGCGTTAAAGGTTTGCGGTTTAGGTAGGGTTCAATATAGGGCTTAAGGGTTAGGGCATGAGAAGGGTTCAGGGGTTTAGAAATGGTGTCGGGTGTATGTTAGGTTTAGGGTTGAGGTTTCGTGTTTTAGAGCCACTTTTGGACATGGTGCAATCTGTAGGGAGGAGAATTTGGATAGGACCGGGGATCCTTAAGACATTAGAGTATTCGTCAGCGCATCTGTTGGGATGCATGCAATGACAAGATCTATTTCACAATTTTCGGATCCAGCTCAGAGCTCTACGTCTACCCTAACACCCACCCCGGTCGCAAAGTCGTCAAAGCCATCGAAACCGTGCTAGTTTGTAGGGGTTTAGAGGGTTTACTACGAGGGCCCCGTTACGGCCTGGGTTTCGGGTTTAGGTTTGAGAGCTATTCACGTGCAGTCCTCACACATAGCTACCGTAGAGTTGCTTCCAAAGCACTTTCCCTCATCTTTGGGGGTTGCAGAATTGTCAAAATCCCTCATGGTATTTATACTAAGATTGCACCGACACCAAAACCCTACTCTAAATACAAAGCCCCCGCGCCCCATGATCAGTTTCTTCCGCCCCTTGAGGTCCGGTGGAGCTTTATGAGAATAGCAACCAGTTCCTTCTCGTCTCTCCTGCGCCCGACAGCGAGACTTCTCGCCACTCGATCTCTAGGGCACAGACGGGATCGACGGCAGGTTGAATGTAGACCCCTGATTTGCAAGCCTCCTTTCCTTCAAGGCCCTATACCGGAATCCTTTTTTGTCATCCTTCTCAAAGGACGGGGGGGTGTATGGATCAGAGGTCTACATTGGGGTTGGGGGTCGGGTGGTGCTGGTCTAAACCGCAAGCGCCAGAGCCTTGGAGCCCTACACCCTGAAACTTTCGACTCCTGAATCTGCCGCCCCAGCCGATCTCTCAGCTCTCGCCCCGCCCTTAGGCCCCAAGCCCCAAGCCGTAGACAAGCGAAGTCTGACAAGTTCCAAAGCCCGACACCTTGAACCCTAAACCCCCATAAACCCGAATTCTTGACCCTTGAGCCCCAAACCCAACAACTTGCAAACAAGTCACGGGTCTGCATGCGCCAGTTTTGATGTAAGCAGCAATGTAGCATGCGAGCCTTATTGGTTGGAATAGCACTCTGGGGTATATTGTAGTTAGTCCTTAGGTCCCTCAATCCCAGTAGCCTATAACTTTCATGGTATTCGTGTGTTGAGGAACTCCAGGAATAGCATCAGCACTTCTCTAGGCTTGAATTCTTGGCTGCTTAGGGAGCGAGTTCCTGGCTTTCAAAGGTTCCCAAGTTTGGGCTTTCAGCAGTTTCATGTTATAAGTTTAGGGTTTAGGGCGTTTACAACTTCCCTTCATATTAGATTGGGAGTACCGGCAGGCTCCCAGCTTCATGCTATCTTGGACCCTGACCTTTCCTTCGTGGTCAGCATATTTTCCACCGCTTTTGTAGATCTACTCAGCTCTTCAAGGCTAATATTGGAGTCGGAGTAGTTAGAAACATCCTCCACTTGCCGTCCTTACATACTTTTATGCGATGAACTTGAGGTTTTGGGCCTCGTCTAAAGTGTTTAGGGTTCCTCAGATTCGCCACTTGTAGGCCCAGTTTAGGGTTTAGGGTTCAAGGGTTTAGGGTTTATAGGGCTTAAAGGGTTGATGTATGTATACTACGACACTGATTAAGGCGCTTCAGATGTTTAGGTTTCAGGGCCGTCAGCTCTTTCCCTCCTTTGCGCTCCGAGGCATTTGCGTCCAGTTGGGCCTGGACAAGCACCCTGACCTGCCGCCCACGCACCTCGCGGTGGAGCGCTTGGTGCTTTGTTTTTGGATCTCTCTCTTGATTCATGCTAAGCCCGAAACCCTAAATCAAACGGAATCTAAAGAAAGCATGGCCCTGTTGCAGACCCCTGATCCATCACGATCTTGAGATGCGAAAGCTGGAAGAAGGGATCCGCCTGCTTTATGGTTCCGTGAGGGAGGCATCAAGGCGACCAGAAGAGCTACATGTCAAAATTGTGGTCCCTTTGTGGGTACCCTAAATATTAGGTGCCGCATTATGATAAGGACCCAGAAAGGGACCCTCATATTGACAACCACCCATGTAGATGACAGGGGGTACCTATGATAACTGGGAACCTTCGACCCAAACTCTAACCTTAACCCTGAGCTCTAAATCCCTTGAAGGAACCCTTAAAGGTACCCCGAAAGGAACCCTTGAAGGAGCCCTTTTCTTCAGGAGCCCTTTAACAGAACCCTTAAGGGAACCCTAATACTAAGCCCCAAACTCAGAGCCTGTTTGAATACGAAGGTGGAGCTGGAAGATTGCCACCTCCTCACGTGCCTCCGGCTTGCTCTTTGCAGATCGTCAGAGCTTTGAGGGTTTTGGGCTTTGCCTAGAGAGCCTGATAGACCCCCAGTAAGGGCATAAACCTTCAAGTATTATGGGGGGGGGGGGCTAGATTGATTTAAGCTATTTTCCCTCATCTAAAGGCAGTTTTCTGAAGATCAGAGCTTTGTAGGATTTTGGTTTCGTGGCTTAGGCTCTGGCTTCAGGGTTTGGGGGTTTAAAGAGTTTGGCTTTGGCTGGGTGGATAAAGCTTCGAAGATGAGCTTGTGCCCAGAAAGCCCAGTACCCCTTAATTAAGGATTATGGCTTAAATGGTACAGGGCTTCATATTCTGATTTAAGCTATATTCCTTAATTAAGGGGTATTGGGCTTTCTCGCTGAGGTTCGATAGGTTTAGGGTTTAGGGCCCTCCACCATGAAATCTAGCCACTCTCAGGGCCCTGACTACCCAGATCCCTATTACTGTGCTTCTTGAGGGAGGGGGGCGCCCTGACAGCCTAAACACTCAACCCTCTCTAAACCCTACACCCTAAACCCTAATTCTCCAACCGTCAAAATCCTTAAACCAGCCTTTTAATAAGCCAGGAAGTTCTAGGGGCTGGGTTGAAAGACCAGGCAGGCTTGTCAGGGTGTGGGGTGTAGTGTTTAGGGTCGTTTAGGTTTGAACACGACCGAGCCGCCACCACCCCAGAAGCCTGAATAAACACTAAGATTATTCTTCAGGGTTCCTTATTTACAGCGAAAATAACAAGGAGCTCAGAACCGTATTCTAACTATTCAGGCCCCGATATTACGCCACGCCAGGGGGAAGCAGAGCCAACTGCCTGCCCCGCTGCTGCTGGCCTCGGGACCCCTGTACCTCTGCATGGATCTGGCGGCTCCTGGGCTTAAGAGGGGTACAATACGGTTGATGATATAAATCCCTAGGCTTCCTTTAAAGGGATCTACAGGGGTACCTTTAAGGGCTTCCTTTAAGGGTTCATCTACGGTTGATGATAAGAGGGGTACAATAGGCGCCTTAATAATTCGAATAGGGTTTTGGGCCCCCTGATACTATAGTTATAACAAGGAACCACCAAAGTAGTATTATTTATTTCAGAAGGTGCAAAGCTCTCCGAGAGCGTACCTCGAGCAACGAATTCAAGTGAAAGCGAAAACAAGGGACGAGGGTTCAGGCGATAACCGGACGGACTCCTCAATCCAGTTAGCGAACTCCCCGCCCAAAACTCTGGGAAACTGACAAGAGACTTCACAGATGGTGCCTTGCCGACCGAGAGCGATCACGAAGGAAAACCAATCGAGCGCATGGCTAAGCCAAACCCGAAAGGATGCAAAGTCTCGGAGGGTGCAGGAGCGCGGCTCCCAAAATGTGCTGCATTGCACCGGCGGTACAGGGATGCACAGTGTGACATGTCCAAAGCACCTGCCTGCTGGGACCTGAGAGCAGAACGGCCGGACAACATCCGCCGAGCTCGCTCCTGTGTCAACGGAGGACACGAGCAGCGAAGGCAGGCCTGCACGAGCGGGACTAGCTGGCGGGAAAGGGACTAGGAGAGGCTCAAACCCAGGCGAGACTACATCCTTATCCCTAGGTGCGCTAGAAACCGCTGTGCACCAGAGATCAGCCTGAAGTCCAAGCAGCACGTCGCTGGCAAGTTCAGACAAGTGTGAATCCCGGAGTCCTATGATCCAAAGCTCAACCGTGTTCCGAATTACAGGAAGAGGCTCAATCACAGCAATCACAGCATCGAAGATTTGCTCAGCCTCCTGCCAAGTGCCCTCCTGGAGCACCCGAAGCAAAGGAGTGGAAACTGAATCCGCGAGCGGCGGCAGGTGAGCAGTACCCACGCCCTCGATGGAGGGTCCCTGCTCATGTCCGTGCCGAGCCTCTACAACCTCGAAGAGCCCGTCAAAGCCCCGCTCGAGCGCTTGACAGCAGCGCAGGGAAACCTGTAGGTGCCGCCTATACTGAATATTGGTACAGAAAATTGTGGCGCAGGCCTGGCACCGGACCCCCACCGCAAGCCTGCGAGCACGGGACCTATACTTATGAACCTTAGCGGCATGAGCAGACCAAGCATGGCAGTCCTGGAAGGCTATGCGACACGCCAGACAAGCATGAGAGGTCTGAGTGCTATCGACAACAGGTTCGGGCATACGATGCCAGATTGTGCGCAGTACCTGCTGGTACTCAGCAAGAGCGCCTATACGCTGGACATGCCAGCGTTCGGCTCGCCGCAGAAGGCCTTTCCAACGCCCTCGGCAGTTCATCAAGTCACACCAGGCGGGCCAAGCCCCTGCGAAAGACCCCGGGCTGCCAGTGGACTCCGTGGCCAGAAGCAGCCATTGTTCTGCCAAACCAATGGCCCGGAGGAAGCCGGGGGCCTGCTGGATCAAGGCAAAAACTGCATCCGGCCCACTGCGGACAAGTTGTGCCACGAAGCGCAAGCGCTCCAGTGCAAGGAAACCTTCGAGCGAAGGGAGGCCGACAGCCGCCAAAATACGCTCATACGTCCACTTCTGATCCTCGTGCCTGGGAATGCGGAGCATCTGCCGCAGCATGCGGTAAAAGCCCGTCTCAAGAAGGGACCACCCACGCTTACAGAGGCACGGCCAACCCCCACTGCCCGCGAAAAGCGACGACAGCACGTGGGTGCGAAAAAGCGAGACTCTGCGGGCCAGGTCAATCCTAGGGCTGCAGAAAACGTCCCGTTTGCCTTCATGAAAGCATGCCCTTGCCGACTGCAGTTTGGAGCGCACCTCTGCTGCCATGCTGCCGTCAAAGGAGATCCGGGATCCCAGGTGTTTGTACTGTGCAACGGCCGTGAGCCATACCCCAGGACCATTCTCGCGCAGAATGGGGAGCCTGCCACCATTGATCGAGAAGACCTGTCGGCGGACCTCTTTAGAGCCCGCGCCGACCGGCGCCAGCAACGCCGCGGTCTTGCGAGGGCCAACGTTCGCCCTGAGACCGTGCCCGGAGAGGACATCAATTGATGTACTCGCCACACCACGAACTGCGGCTGGGAGCCTGGCAACTTGTCGTTCGACTATACATGTCGCCAGATCGTCAGCATACACCAGGTCCTGTACCTCGACGGATGTTTGCTGCGCTGCCCTGCCATCGTAGGGCTGCAGGTCTCGGCGTCCATTCCAAGGAATGATCGGCTTCCAGCCTTCGGACGCAAAGTCTCCGCGTCGTTGGAGTACACGCGTGAAGAGCAGCCCATACAAAACGTCAGCAAGGCTGCTGCCGGGGCGAGTGCCCCGGCGGGTATGAACGACCTCAGCATCCTGGTGCATCAGGAACCAAGTTCCTGAGTGTAGCTCTTGAGTAAGTGCCGCCAGAAGAGGTCCAGAGTCTTCGCCACAGAGCACGGGCTCGTCTGCCACGTGGGCCTGAAGGGCCTGCAAATCCTCGGGCGTAAGCTCCAAGGACGCCGCGATTTCGAGGACACTCGCCTGCTCCAACTTGCCACCTGTGAGCAGCTCACGAATCACGGAATAATAAGCCGAACTGATGTCGGTGAAGAGGATAGCAGATGGAATAGAGCGGCGGCGAGTGTACTCAAGGAAGGCACGAGTGCAGACAAACCCGAAGACGTAACTTTGACCCTTACGCCCCCCTATCATGAGATCTGGCGCGGTTTTGTTCCATTCCCGAACAGTAAGGCCACGAACTGCTTTGTGCATGACCTTCTCGAGAACGGATTGCACCAGGATGGCACGCTGTGAAGTCACCGAGCACGGGTCAGGAGCCCCTGCTTTTGGAATCCTGTACAAGGTTCCTCCTTTCATCCCGACCGGTTCTGCGGTGTACGCGAGGGTCTTCAAGAGCACAGGATAGAACACCTCCGCCATTTGGAAGGAGAAGAGCCTGCATAAGGCTGGAGGAAGCCAGTCCGGTCCGCATGCCTTATTTGGAGACACAGCGCGAAAATGCACGGCCAAAGAGGGCAGGTCCGGAACTTCGTCAAAGTGCAATACCTCGACTGGATCCGCCTGCGCCTGCCCTTGAACGACAGCATGCACAAGTTCATCAAGAGAGACTGCGCGGCCGCCCTCAAGCGCCGCGAAGTGGGAACGCCATTCTGCGGTGATTTCAGCTTGCGACGCACAGAAGCCTCCTTCGGAGTTGCGAAGACGCGGCAGGGGGTCATGTCCGGAGCGGCGAAACTTCTTGGGTCGCAGCATCCGCCGCAGAGCAACATGAACCTCGCCGTCAGGCGCTTGTTGGACCTGATCTGCAAGAGAGTCAATGTGCAAGCGTTTGTCCCGCCGGCAAATTCTTTTGAGGGCTTGACCAGCATCCGCAAGCCGGGACGCCAAAGCGGAAATGACGAGCTGCAGATGACTGGCCCATTCACCGAAGAACAAGTCGGGAAAGCAGTCCGAACCCCGCCAAGCAAGAAATGCGCATCTCAAGCGCGCCAGTCGCAATGCCGCAGACCGGTTGCGCAGGGCATAGCGCAGATGCGCGACGGCTGCATGCAAAGTCCCTGCTTCTGCCGAAAGAAAGGATTTACGCATGCGCCTATTGGCTAGGGGGAAGTTACTAGAAAGAGCCCCAAAGAGGTATTCAACCACAACCGCTGCATGATCGTTAACATTGGCGCTCCACTCAACCTGAGGTGCATCACGCAAAATGCTGTCAATGCGTTCGGCATTGCGCGGGTCCTTGAGCGCAACAGGGTCAATGCGTTTGGCCTTCTTGCCTCCGCGCCTCCGCTGTAGGGCAATGTGACATTCTACCACTATTGCGAAATGGTCTGGCGCAACGTGTCCCGCGGTGATGCCCGGTTCAACGAAAGCGCGCACATGCCACACATTCCAACAGCTGGGAAGCCCGACGAAATCGCAACGATGGAGCACTTGTGTTTGCGACTGCATGTAAGTGCCCCCATCTCCTTCCATGCAGTACTCAAATGTGCTGGGCAGCCAGCAATGCAGGCAACCCAGAAGCTCGTGAAAGGCAGTGCCGGCAACATCTTCGACATCTGGCTGATGGCCTCCGACAAAGGCTGAAACTTCGGAACCAAGACGACAATTGCCGTCCACGAGCACGAGCCAATCCGAGCCTTGGAGGCTTGTCCTGCATAGTCGGAGGGTGTCCGCCCACCATTCTCGGCGAGCTGAATCCGAAAAGGCGCGGTGAGGCCCGTGCCCAACTAGCACATTCAGCGAAAGTTCAGCGAACTGCAAATGACCGATTAAGCGGCAAGGGTCCGCGTGGCTCACCGAAAACACGTGGGACGGCCATGATTCACCTCGAGCAACCCACAGCTCAACTCCATAGCACCTTCTCTCGTTGCACCCGCTGCCGTACCGGGCGTACAGCGCCTGCATGCAACTGCCGGCCGGCGTACGTGTTTCCTGCACTCCCGCTATATACACCTGACATGCGGCTAGTGAGTTGGCGAGTAGCCCGACGCGTCCGGCGGCGCCATACAGGCCGCCGCCCTGAACTTCAGCACTAGCTGGGTCAAGGAGCGATAAGGAGTTGAAGGATGCGCACCTACACTGAAAGTCAAAGCTAGCGGAGGCAGCAAGACCACCCGCAGCGCCAAGGGCTCGAGTGAAAGGTCCCATAAGCTGATGCGGCGTGAGTCGCGGCGCATCCTGTTTTGCCGTCCAAGAGAGAAGACCATTGCGCAACGTTGGAAGCACAGATGGTCGAGTGATGCTAAGGCATACGTGCGGCAACCAGCGCGCACGAGCTGCACGGTCAGCAAGCCACTCATGGAGGGGGAAGGTGAATGGCAACAGACGTTGTTTGCCGACAGCTCCGAAGTTGGCAAGGCCGTCTGCCAGTTCATTGGCACAATCACCATCATGCCCGCGAACATGCTGATATGCGAGTGTCCGTTGATTCAAAACGGCCAAAGCAAAGTGCAAGCTCCGAGCCGCAAGCGACAAGCAAGTATCAGGCATGAGCATCTTACCTTCAACTCCTTGAAGGGCGGCCTGATTGTCCGCACGAAAAGTGAGGTCCGCAAAGGTTGGATGCTGAAACGCAACCACTCCGGCCCAAAGCAGGCCGGCGACCTCAGCGACAAAGGCGCTGCACGGTTCCTGTATTATTGCCGTGTCGACAGTACCGAAGAGACAGCCAACGAATTGCCCGTGTCCGGGATCCTCACTGGCAGCGACACTGAGTACAACAGCCCATCCCGCCGACCCTGTGCGCGAGCAGAAGGAGCCATCTGCTGTGAGGACAAGTCTCTCGCCAGGACCTGGGAGGCGGCCGACCGAACCTGAATCAACCCAATCCTGAAACCGCCATGGCTTGGGCACTCCTGTGGGGATGCCCCCAAGGGCACAAGGTCGCACCTTCTGTTGCAGTGTCTGCAGGTGCTCAGCACTGCATGGCAGAAGGCACTGACCGTCAGTCAGATCAAAATGCTCGGTGCCTTCTGACCCAGAGCCTGGGACGGAGTGCCCAAGTGATTCGGCCAAGCAGAGAACACGACGGGGCTCGGCAGGAGGTAGCGCCGTAGCGGCTGTTTCTGCGGGTGCCGAAGGCCCATATTTAGGGCAATCTACGCTAGCAGAGACTGAGGGTTCTGCAAAGTGTTCGAACAGGGTATCGAGTAGCGTACTCGCCAAAAAGAAGGGGTGCGGTGCGTCCGCACAGTTGTCACGCACACTTTGCTCGAGTAGGGTCGGGCCTACTCCATGCAGAAAGCCTAAAGTCTCTAGGTCGCCCTGTCCAGTGAACCCTACCCCTAGTCGCACCTCGTCCTCTCCGCCGTGCTGGGCTGTGCCATCAGTGCGCCGAGAGGGCCTGTGGCGGCAGGGGGTAGGCAGGGGCCTATGCAGAGGCTCACAACGAACACTCTCGTCAGTTGCAGGGTCAATTGCAAGGGTGCGTGTGTCTACTGCAGTTGCAGGTCGGCTAGGCAATTGCACACCTTCTGCACCTAGATCTTGCACAAAGTCGCAGAGTAACAGGCATAACAGTGTTAAACCAAGAATGTGCCAATACATTCGATGTCCATTACATCTCCTAAGGGGCGCGTACCCTCGACGAGCAGGCTGAAAACCACCGCTAAGCCTAGGCACCAGAAAAACAACAAATGCTATGCAAACGGCACACCACGTTGTTATTCCACTCGCCCTTGGCTCATGAGCAGAGTTAACTCTACCTGCTGGCAGGAGGACAGGGGTGACGCCACGGTGCCCAGTACGATGGGCAAGGCTGCATAGACCGAGGCTCCACATGACTACTCGACTGCCAAAAATTGCGCTGCATGCAACTGCGAGACTACATGCAGCATCATGAGATGCAAATGTCTTGGGGCAAGCTCTGCCCCTGATCCTGCGTTGCTCCCCGCCGCTGAGCCACGGCCCATCGGGAGCATCGTTGCCTTGAGGCCCGTGTGTGTCATCTGCATCAGCGTCGCTTCCGGGGGACGCATCATGATGTCGCGGGCTCGAGGGCGGCGAGGAGTGGTCTGAGCCTGCATCTGAACTACTACTCTCGACGCTCCTCGGCACAAAGTGCACGGAAAGCACACCGCCATCAGGCACAGCAAGATGCACCCCAAAATCAGTATGCACGGCATCGCCCCCACGCACCTGCACAAAGAAGCCTTCCGGGCAATGGACGGTGAATCTCCTCACAAAGGCCTCAAGGTTGAAGCCGGGAGGCGCAGCAGAGACGCAGGTGATTCCATGCAGCACAGGCCTCATGTCAAGAAAGACAGTGCGGCGGGCAGGACGGAGTGGCAGGGGACCGCTACGGATCGCCGCAAGCACGGATCGGTGATAAACCCCGTGAGCGCAATGATCCCAGATGCGCGGGAAGGCGGTGCAGACCGTCAGATCAGCGCGCGAGACATTCGAAACCTCAGCAAGCTTGTCCCGAAGTAATCGGTGACCCAACGCTGTGAGATCAACTGAGACCGGCTCGGCTTCTGTGAGCACCCAAAGAGCGCTATCGAAGTGCCCAGGGAGATCAACCTGCAAGTTCCAACCTGCTGCTGACTGCAACATGTCGTCAAGGCTGGCTGCGACAAGAACTGGGTGCCTTCTCCAAGCAACACAAAGCATGTCTCCAGGTGAGAGGAAACAAACCTCGGTGGGACCTAGGGCCTGAGGCGAATCACTCACATATACCTGAATTGCGGCATGCGGCTCAACACCAATGGCAGACAGGATGGAAGCTCGTGTCATGGCAGGTGCGAGCACCGCGCAATGCATGCGGCCATCGAAATGCTCTCGGTCAACCAGAACCGGCACATCTGTTAGTGGCCACTGCGGCATGGCTAGGAGTAGTCCAACTCCAGCCCGGGACTGGGGGTACGCAGGAATCAGATGTGGGAAAAGCGCACGCGACGGTCCGTCCCGCGCTTCATTGACAGCGGCAAGCGCCTGCATTCCAGAAACGGGCACAGCAACGTGTATGATGACTTTCTGCGGCCAGTATTCAAGCGCAAAGACAAGAAAGGGAATCTCAACAATGTCGCCTGTCAGGTTGAGATCATCCTCTTGAAGTGGGAGGAGATCCGGCGCCCATCGCATCACATCCGGTGGAGGACGCTGCAAAAGCGAACGGCCTTGCGCAAGCCAGTGTTGCATATCAGCTGATGCTGCCGGTAGCCCTAGACCCGTTCCTGGCAGATCGTGGTCCGGGCCGCGCGCAACCACCACAGCACTGAGGACAGGCGGCTGTTGTACAAAGCAGGCCGCTGCAAGCGCTCCAGCAAATCGCGTGCGATATGGCGAGCGGCTACGGCCGCCGGGGGAAGTGAGCGCAGCCCCTTCATCCGACCCAGTGTTGGCAGCATGAGGCGCAGGATCAGCAAAGGTGGCAGAATCAGCGTCCGAAGGCACTGCGACATCCTCCGGCGCATGCCCGATGGAGGGCTCCGGGGATACAGGAACCCATTGCACTGTGAGTACACTCCCGCTATGGACCACAAAGTTGTCATGGACAAGGCTGGCCCCATCAATCTGTGCCTGAAAGTCGGGGGGCGCAAGGGTAGAGTACTGCTGCACCAGCTCCGCATGGGAGCACCGGAAATCGAAAACAAGATGCATCTGCCAGCCCTGAAGAATGGCTCTGCAGTCAAGTGCAATGGGGAAATCCCCGGGGCGAAACAAAGCTGGAGGAACAGGCACGTTCGGAAAGGACCCGGACACCAGTGCAACACCCCGGCACCGGTGACCGCGATAGCAGGCATCATGCACAGCCGGTCGTGCAACGCGAGCCGTGGTCCAGTGCAAGGCAAGCCCAAAAGCTTCAGAGATGTCTTCGAGGTGGTGGCGTCCTCGAAAAGGCGGGATGCGGAAAAGCCTCATGCCATCTTCCAGAACAATGCAGACAAAGTTCCCTCGCCGGCCGCCGGGCCCGAGCGGCACGTCAACTTCATCATCCCAGCCGAAAGGAGACGCCAGCATAGCAGCAAGCGTATGTGTTCGCGGTCCCAGAACCCCAGCTCGCTTGAAAGCAACGCAACCATGGCGCACAATTGGGATCATAGCGTCACGGTCAACAAGGGGCCGTCCGAATGCGACAACTTGCCAGGAACCATCATCAGCAACATCAGCCAGGTCAAAAAGGCTGCCGCGCATGACAACTGGGGCACACGTCGTGGCAAACAGCCTACCATCGACCTGCCGCAAGTCCAGGACAACAATATCCGCGCTGTCGGTCCAGCAAGGCAATGCCAAAACCGTCGCCCACTCATCCGAAGGTTGGGGCCAGACAGAGACAAGGTGCGGGTACCGGAGCGCAAAGTGCTGCGGCAGTTCTTCCTCAACCGCAGCGAAAAGGTCTTGCTCCGTTTCGGGCACACGAACATCAACCGCAACAACCTTGCCGATCCAATCTACAGCCAAAACTAGCACTTGTATGGAAACAGAAAGGCTGTGGGCACTATTTTCACTCGTATCGGAGTCCGAGGCTATAGGCGGCCGCGGGTGCCGTGCTGTCCTATGGACAAAGAGGGGGGGACCCGGTTCCTCACTGGCCCGGAAGAAATAAGATCCCTGGACGATTGCAGCGATGGCTCCGCATGCGTGGTAGGTTCTAGGTACCTGGAGTCGGGCACCGTCGCGCTCAGGGGAGGCGGTCACTAGCAGCGTATGTAGACTCGGCGTGCCATCTGCAGGTATCTCACCAACCTCTTGCAATGCATAGCGAATCCCTCGACCTACAGGCAGAACGAGAAGGCGTTCAAGGTCCTGAAGACAGAACCCCTGGGCAGGCACCGACAGCACCTTGGGCAGCAATCCGATCGGCCTGAGGTCACAAATCAGGCTCCAAGTATCGCACTCGTCGTCCTCAGGCAAAAGCCCAGGATGTTCATGTATGACTGCAACAGAGCTGCAAGGCTCGCCCCACAAAGCGAAGCCAAAAACGCACAAGGACACCTCGATTTGAAGCAAATCCGCGGAAACACGAAACCGCTCAGAGACAATACTAAGGATGTCTCGGCCCGGGAACAGTGCTGTCTGGAGGACATGCCACCCGTCGCGGAACCAAACGGCAATGCAAGGCCTCCTATGAGCAGTTGGCACATCTCCGGGAAGGTCCCACATTTCGCCTATCTGGAAGAGCTCACTAATGAGGACGGGCTGCGGGGTTGGCACACCCGTGCGCAAGATGGTGATTGCGTCGCCGTGGCAGAGGCCTAGCCTGTCTGCCCCGGAGCAAAGTCGAAACCCAGCTCCGACATATATGCTGACCTCAGAGACTTCACAATCAAGCTCTGCAGCGACATCGTTCAAGAGGTCCTCGGCCGTGCACCTAGTCGGCAAACATGTTGCGAAGTACTGCCCTCCTACATGAGTCAGGTCGATGATGCCTGCCACTAGCTCTAGTTCGTCGAGGCATGCCGGATGAGCAAGAAAGGCGGCCGAGCCGCTGAATCGCTGAGGCGAGACCGGCACAACACATGACAGGAGGGGCCGGTCACGCTGAACAAAGCGCCTGACCTTGCTGACCAAACTCACAAGTCCCTGTCGGAGCGTGAGAGCAACAGCATAATGCCTGGGAACATGGTGCACTGCATGTACGGTGACGCTAAGCCATCGATCCGGGGTGAGTGCCTCAGTGACACCTGGTTCTGCCGGTAGCAGTATGAAATCATCTGCATGTTGGTCCGAAGGAGGTGCAATGGATGGCCGTAGACCTTCCGGAAGCAAGAGTCCAAGCCGCTGCAGCTCAGCAACTGAGCGGGGTATTTCCGTGGGAACAGCCCACACTTGCTGCGGGATACTGCATCCAATCATGGTCCACAGCCACCAAAGACCTCGACGCCGAAATGGCGTATTCCTAGGGGCCTGTTGTCGCCCATGGCGGGTACCGAGCCCTTTGGAGGCACGACACAATGTGCCTGCTTGGCTCTTCAAACGCCCTACCTCAGCGAGAGAGAACAAAACCTGAGGCTGAACCCCTGAGAGGGGAAGGCGCAAAGCTTTCAAAAATGCTGTGCGACGTCCAGGCATCCCTTTGACAAAGAGCCAAACAAGATGCAGGAAAAGCATAAAGAGAATGGCTCTGGCAGCAGGAACCAGAACGGAACCCAGCGAAACCAAAAGTCGTATCCCCAAAGCAGCAAGGCGTTCATCGCATGTGTCCTGAGGCCCGAAATTGGCAGAGCGTGCAAGTCTGGTAGAAGGTGGATACCCCAGCGCCACCGATGTATCACTTTGGCACCCTTCACCCGAAAAGCAAACCCTGGCACCAGTCGCAGGACTGCAGGGAGGAGATATGCAGTGCATGACAGGCGGGGGAAGAGTCCAGTGAACACAAATCCCGTGCTCCTGGGCTCTTCGCGAGGAAGACAGTGAGGTACCGGATCCGAGAGCTGCAAAAACCCGAAGCAGCTCAGAACCCAGCCGCACATGCGAATCAAGGGAATCGTGGACAAGGCCCTCAGAGTGGTCAGCACCGAAGAACTGTACAGCAAGCGAGACTACTTCTGTACATTCGCACCACTCAGCCCTCAGTAGAGACAGAGGATCCAGATCAGGGCAGTCATCAACCGCGACGCGTTGGTGACACAGAGATTCTTGACCGAGGGTCTGAACGCCCCCCAGCCGAATCATAAGGTCACCGCCGCCAGCGCAGGATGACGCCCTGATCATTGCCACTACTCCATTGCACCCAAGCTTGCTGGAGCTCCAGTCTGTGCGAGGTCCTCGTCCGAATCGTCGTCGACAACGGGGATCCCAAGGGGGATCTGGCCAGGTGACTCGGAGGCGCTCGAAGGGCCTGCAGGTGCATGCTTGGCCAGCTCCTGCGCTCGCTTCTCTTCCAGCTTCGCGGCAAGGCTCTTGGTCGAAGGCGAGGCTGCCTTCACGACGCCACTTGGCAGCTCCTTTACCGCTTTCCTCGGCCTCAGCTGTCCGTCGCCGATTTCCGCATTGACATCTCCAGACCCAGACAAACGGACCGCAATAGGATCGGCAGCTGAGAAAGGCTGTTGATGGGGCGCAAGTCCTGGAGGGGGTTCGCTGACCACCGGCATCGGGGGCTCCAAGGTCCCCGAACCAGGCCCTGCTGGAGGGCGAGGGCTCGGAGACATGGCATTGTAGGCCTGCTGTCGGGCCGGCGGGATCGCTCCTTCCGTCTGTTGTGGCCTGGCAGAGGCTGCTTCCCCAGCCTGCATGGCCCCCATCGCCTGAAGAAAAGCCATCATGTCCGGACTGAGTCGTCGCTCTCCTGCGAGGACAGCCGCCGCCTCCGACTGCGAACCAAATGCTCTGCTCAAAACGGCAGAGGCATCCTGCTCCTCTCGGCGTTCCTGATGCCACGCCCTCGTGAGAGCATCCCATGCATCCTCGACTGGAGCCGCGGGAGCGGGCCTCTCTTCTCGCAAGTGCAGTGTCCGGAGGTTCGCTCGAGCTTCCTCCTGTGCTTGGAGGGCCGTCTGCAGATCGTCCTGGATCCGTCCAATCTCGCGCTGGTACTTGTCGTGCTCCCGCAGGTACGACTTGCGCAGCGCGTCTAGGTAGGCAGTCCACTGCCCTTCCCGTTTGGTACGGGTCTGAGCCAGCTGTCTTACACGCTGCTCTGCCTTTCTCGCTTGGTTCAATCCCTCTTGCATCACACTCCGCAGCCGGTCGTCCGAGTCCTCCATGAGCACTTCGTCGGGCTGCCTGTCCGGTCCGCGCCCAGCTTTGGGCTGTGCCACACTCATACTGTCGTACGTAGGGAACTTGATGTCCGGAGCCCTGTCCTTGCCCGCCTTGGGGTAGTTGGGCGACCAGGCACCACGCCAGTAGTAACCACCATCTTTGCCGCCCTTGCCGGATTTGTTCTCGCGGCCTCCCCTCCATGGCGGGCCTCCCATTCGGCGGTACCTTGGTCTGCTGTGGTGGCCTTCGAGCAGGTGAAGGTCCTTGCAAGGCAAGGATCGTGCTGCACTCTGTGCAGCTTTCACCCGTGCACGTGCACGAGCTCGGTGTTGTCGTTGGCGCCGATGCCAACGAGGGCTGCGCGAAAGCGTCAGCACGCCGACGTGCGATTTCGCACTGGGGCCGTCGATGTTCCCTGCTAGCTGCTCCGCTGCTGGGCGATTCGGGCCCTAAAGTAGTATTGGTCATTATTTAGGCCCCTGTATTATGACTATAGAACCCTACTATAGATCCCTTATAGACCCCTTTAGGGAACTTTTAAAGGAGCCCCCAAAGTTGTATTGGTCATTATTTAGGCCCCAAAAGTACCAAACAAGGGCTCCTGAAATTTTAGGTGCCCCATGGCTTGGGGTTTAGGGAAGGTTATTGATAGGTGCTTGCTGGTGTTATATATGGTTTTTATGTCGCGGTACAAGTTTGCCTTGGTCCTTGTGCGAGGTTTGAGGTTTACGATTGGAGGTGTAGAGTGTTGGGTGCAAAGTTTACGGTCGAGGAGTGTCGCACGTCAGAGGTTTCGGGTTTAGGGGTTCAGGTTTAACTAAGGGCTAAGGTCTAGCGTTTGAGGGCTAGGGCTCCCTAAACCTTAAACCCTAAACCCTGAAAGCCTAAGGCCGAAAAACTCTGAACCCTAAAACTTTAAGCTCTAAACCCTAAGGCCCCCCAAGCCCTAAAACCTAGGGTTTAGGGTTCTACGGGGTTCTTGTTAAGGGGTTTAATTTAAGCTACTACAATAGGGATCTCATACAATTTGCTTTAGATCCCTATTATGGGAACTTACATTACTTGGAGGATCATGCGACTTAGTAAGTATGGTTATAAGTACCTTAATTGGGGCTATGAGTAACTATAAGTATAGTTACCTAAACTCTAAGCCTATAGTTACTAACCCATGATCCTTTAAGTAACTTCCTTAACAAGAACCCAGTCTTCAGGTACCCCGGGGTTTAAGGTCAAATTCAAGGGGCGAGCAGCTGGGACCCTGAGATCCTCCGAGATAGGGGCATTTTTGGGGGGGACCCCAGGGCCCCTTACGGTTGATGATATAAAGGGTTCTATAAGGGTACCTTGAAGGGGTTCCTTTTAGGGATCCATTGGGTTTTAGGGTTTAGGGTTTAGGTTGATGATCTAAATCCTGCATTACCTTAAGGACCCTAAACTATGGGAACTATGGTATATTCCCTATTATGGGTAATGCAGGATTTATATCATGAGCCGTAGCATATGAGACCCTAAGCTTTATTGGTTTAGGGTCTTAGGGTTTAGGGTTTTCGTGTTTAGGGTTTTTGGGTTTAGGGTTTCAGGGTTTGGGTTTAGGGTTTTTGGGTTTAGGATTTCAGGGTTTAGGGATTTTGGGTTTAGGGTTTTAGGGTTTAAGGTTGCGTGCTACGATTCAGGGGTTTGGGCCTCCTTTTCAGTTTGAACAGGGGCTTGGGGAAACTGAACTGTATGTAGGCACTGTGATCATTCTCATGAGCAACTAATCGGGGGGCCTCAACAGTTAGAGGAAGGCTTTGGGCTCCTGTCTAGTATGATTAGACGCAGGAACCTCCAAACAAAAACTGTCGCTGCATTACATTAGTTGCGCTGTCTAAGAACAGCTTTCCCAGTCTGCGGACTCCTTTGTTTGCATGCGTCGTGATTCTTAGTTCCAGCCTGCTACAAGACAGCTGATCATTTTTCGCCGACTATACCGTGTTTCGGCAGGAAATAAGCAAAATCTTGCAGACTGTTTTGCAGAATTAGTGGGTCGTCGGGAAGCTTCGGAACCGATTTTGGAACCCGTATATGTGCTTCTGAGACGCTCATAAAGACTTTACCCCTAAACACAAAGCCCTAACCACGATCCAGAAAGCTGTAACGACAGAATATGGGGGTCGGAGTACTTAGCAAGAGTGATCCCCTATAGTTCCTGTAAGCTGATAGTGTAACCTTCCAAAACCGTATTCGAATTTGTACGGCCCCTACATATACTGGCCGTAGCCCCACACCCTGAAACCCAACCATGAGTTCTAAAACTTTCACCTTCACAACTCTGAGCCCCAAATCCCACATGAACACCTGTTCGTGCCAAACTGTGAAGAATGTTGGAAGTTTTGTTCCTTAAGGTTCTCGAATAGAGATTTCTTCTAGAATATGAGATTCCCTAATGTAAGTTTTTCGAAGAAAGCTTGTCGTCCCTAGCAGTTCTTACCGCAAACCCCAAGCCCTGAATCCCAAACTTTAACCCCGACTTCTCAAAACTCTTGCCCTAGACCTAAAGCCCCAAGCTGAGGAACACACAGATGCGGCACTTGGCCGCGCCTTCTCGCCGAGGCTGCTTTCAGGGGTTTCGAAAAGTCGGGGTTTGAAAGGGTGTTCAGGTTTTTGCAAGGATTCGTAAACCTTTTTGAAAGGGTTCGACTTTTGTAACGGGGTGCTACCCGGGTCTTGCAAGGCTTGCAGATGGATTTAGAAAGTGTCCCAAAAGAGAACAGTTAGGCATTTTCGGGTTTTGGGTTGGTGTCGCGGTTTTCTGTACGGGGTCTGATGATCGGAAGGGGTTTTTGGGTACACAGTCGTCACAACTATGTATATGCTTCGCTTTGCACCAGAGAACTTCAAACCCTCCTCGTAACAACTAAGCCCTGCCTTAACCCCGAAGAGCCTACATCTTTAAGGACCTATATAAAGAAATCATAATAAGGAGCCCTAAGAAGGTAGGGCTAAGGTAAACCCTAAACTCATATTATCCCTTGTGGGGCTTAATAGGACACTATTTATGAACATTTTTCAGAGGCTTTAAAGGGCCAGCCGAGTAAACCCTAAATCGTAAACCCGAGATTGAAGTCCTGAGCCTTAAATCCGAACGCCGAAGATCCAAGAGGTTCCAC